ATCGATACCTCGCAAATAACTGTTGACTGCACTGTTCCGTTGAGTTAAATGCAATTATAATATATAATTCAATTAATAAAGTTGACAATATAATCGAGTTGGTAAGTTCTGAAAAAGTCAATGGGGATTTAACTTAAACGTAAAACAACATTGAACACAATTAATGATTTGTACAAATCACTGATTGAGTTTATCAATGAACATCAACAGTCAATTCGGGGACCTTGAGCCGAGACATTAGAATAACGCATTCCATTCTATTCTAATGTCTTTAGAATAACGCATTCCATTCTATTCTAATGTCTTTGGTTGAGGCATGCGGTTTGCCGTCATTGTTATCAACTGTGCTGATTTCAGCGCGCAAAAATTTCAATTCGCCTAAAGGCACAGCAAATCCCTTAAAGAATCGCAAGTATAAGTCCATATCAACGTCTCCTCTTGAAGTTTCCATTTTGTTTCTAGATGACAAGACTTTTATCATTTTTTGCCTTCCGCTCTTTGTGCTTGGCATTGGCGTAATGAAAGGGTTCCGAAAGGAAAATATCCCCGGCCATTGAAAATAAACCAAAGAAATTTTTATAGCAAAAAATTCAATATGCTAAGTGACAGTGATAATTTTATGGCCAAATGCTACCCCCGCCACCACAAGTCCTAGATTTACTCTGCACATTTGGTGGTGTTCATTCCGTGTTCATTCCGTCATTTGGTGTTCATTCAGAGTTGTTCACCAGAGTCCAGATATCGTATGCCATGTTTAATCAAATACGATGCCGTGGATTTGTTGTGGTATCGCTATAGTAAAGACTCGAGTATCCAGTATTCCTTGCCCAGCTGCACTGATGGTGTAGGCATTGTTAGAGGATCCTAGAATGCATTCTTAATATCAATTGAAATTAACCTACAGGGGTGCTCCGTACATCGCTTTAGTCTTGAAAACCGGGCGGTGATCCGCACACATACGAGTACATAGCAGATTTGATTCAGGCGGCTTCATTTATGTAGCTACAAAAACCAGATTGTTCGATTGTGCCATATTCTTTGAATCTATTTTCGAAACCAGAGTAAGCGATGCCGTTTCCGACCATATAAAGTATATAGATTCTTGATCAGGATCAATGGCGGAGTCTATCTCGCCATATCCGTCTGTCAGTCCGTTTATCAAACCGCCCAAAACTGCCACGCCCACACTTTTAAAAATTTTGTAGATATTTTTCATTTAAAGAAGCTAGAAAGCTGAGATTCGGCATGCAGATTCCAGAGACAGACGCAGCGCAGTTTTTTTAAATGATGTTGCCACACCCACAAACCGCCCAAATATTTGAATATTTTTTAATTTTTTTTATTAGTTTTGTAAATTTTATTAATTTGATTAAAAATGTTTCCCACGCCCACTCTAACGCCCACAAGCCGAGAAGAAATCGAGAACGTCTCCTACCGGGGAATATCTTCTCTTTTCGTAGGCTGCGGTCTTTTATACTATAAGTCTTTTATTTATAGAGCTTTCGCCGGTCTACTTCGGTCATCGGTTCTATGGGCCAACTGTTTCCTCCTATGTGTAATATTTCACTATTTCCCTTTTTTGGGAGTCAATCTGATCAACTGCCCTACTGATCAACTGGAGAAGAATTTCCATGTGAACTATTGTGACCGCTGGACTGGATATTTGATACTCGTTCTTTGTTGTCTGACTCAAGGAGGTAGTTGTACCCCTCCCTCTGCTTCAGATTCTGTCTGTTTTATGCGTGGATCTTAAAAGTCTTATGATCTTAAACTGAAAACTATGCACTTCCTATAGGCAGGAAGCCCACATTTTGACATATTTACGTACCCAAGAAAGGAATTTTATATAATTCTTAGTTTTATATAATTCTTAGTCTTGTTATTATTCTACCATTTTTTGTGTTAGTGGATGTGGTAAAAGACAAACGTGTTGGATTTACAGCCGTTTAAAGAAGACCCGGAAAAACATGCGGTGAAAATGTAATGCTTAACAAAATTCGCAACATAAAAGTCCAATCTTCTGATTGGCTTAATTCAAGCCTACTAGGAGTATATAATTAGCGTTTTAAAACAACAAAGCACTGGTCAAATTATCTTTGTTAGACCCACGATTTACCTCCACCTCCACCTGTCTGCTAGTGAAGCGGCCAAGGATATTGAGTTCAAAATTTCTCAAGACATCACTAATAAATACGTAAAATGATGTTGTAAATATATAAACAAATATAAATATTCATATTAATAAATATAAAGTAACTTCATTCCACTTAAATTTCTTTAATACAGAATACACTAACATTTGCGGCTGCTAGCTTATTAGATGAAAGCGATACGGACTCCAACAAAGAAGATGCCTTAATGCGCAAAACTAGTCAATAGCATCGCGACAAACTAAGGCAGCCCACAATGAATTACAAGATAATCAAGAGCTTAAACTGTCTTTAGGCCGACCATTCGCTTCTTAGGAATTGATACTAAATTGTTTAATATATCTATAATTGTTGAATCTATCAAAGTACACAGCAATTAGCTTGTAGACACGCGAATTTTACTTTATGGAAAACACTACACTAATGTTAATCAATGATTTTTTTTAAATCATGTTAAAAATGTTAAAATATCGTTTTATTGATAAGAAATTCGATTGTTCAATCATTACTGCGAAATGTAATAGATACACCCTTTGTATGTAACATTTAGTTTCCGACCGAATATGAACAAACAATTATTAATATTAATAAATATAAAGTTACTAAATTCCACTTGAATTTCTTTTTATATATACATATATATAAATGAAATATATATTATATTTATATATTATTGATCAGGGTCACTAGCCCAGTCTATCCGTGTAAGTATTTATACCCGTTTCTCGTAGAGTAAAAGGGTATACTATTTTCGTTGAAAAGTATGTAACAGGCAGAATGAAACGTTTCCGACCATATAAAGTATATATATTCTCGATCAGGATCAATAACCGAGTCGAACTCGTATGAACGCCTCCATCTCAGGAACTACAAAAGCTAGAATGTTGAGACTAAGCATGCAGGTTCCAGAGACATAGACGCGTCGCAAGTTTGTTTCCAAATGATGCCACTCCCACTGTAACACCCACACACCGCACACACTTTTGAAAAATGTGTGATATTTTTTCATTTTGGAATATATCTTGTAAATTTCTATAGATTTGCCAAAAAAAAACTTTTTGCCCACTCTACCGCTCACAAACCGCACAAAACTCTCACGAACAACTCTCACAAAACTTTCCCGACTTTTAGATACTCTTTACTCAGCAAACGAGGAAATTCAAAATTTTCAGGAATATCGGTATATTGAGAAAAAAAAAATCATATGAAAAAAAAACTTTAAATGTTTTTAAAAGTGTGGACGTGACAGCATTGTGCGGTTTGTGGGCGTTAGATTGGGCGTGACAACATTTGGAAATATTCAGGCGAGGCGTTCATACGGACAGACGGACATGGCCAGTTCCACTCCGCTATTGATTCTTATCAAGAATATTTATTACTTTATATGGTTGGAAACGCTTCCTACTGCCTGTTACATTCGAATCAACGAATACTCTACGAGTAACAGGTAGTTGCCCGATCATAACGAGTTATACTTCAATCAAAAGGTAACGCACAAACTAAAGGGATAGCATTCCAAGACTTTGAAAATATTGTTGTTAACTAGATTAGCAGGGGATGAATTCTGGTCATGGTATTTAGGTAAAGTAATAAGAAAACTGGACGTATCTATTCCCTATACTCGTGGATAAAATGATTATTAGATTCGTTCTAAAATTTACTCATTCGGCACGCTCTATCAAAATATTTATTTGCCCACTCAAGCTTTTTAAAGCATGCACCTTCCAGAGACATGCGAGACAGAGACTCGTAGACGCAGCGCAAGTTTATTTCCAAATGTTGCCACGCCCAATCTAACGCCCACAAAACTACCACGCCCACAACTTTGAAAAATGTGATATTTTTTTCATTTTTGGATATATCTTGTAAATTTCTATAGATCTGCCAAAAAAATGTTTGCCCACTCCAACGCCCATAAACCACCAAAACTCTTACGCCCAAACTTTTGAAAAATGTGATATTTTTTCACTTTTTTATACATCTTGTAAATTTCTATATATTTGCCAAAAAAAAACTTTTTGCCACGCCCACTAACCACCCATAACTGTTACGCCAACACTTTCGTAAAATGTTGTCATATTTTTTCACTTTTTTATATATCTTGTAAATTTCTATAGATTTGCCAAAGAACTTTTTGCCACGCCCACTAACCACACAAAACTATTACGCCCAAAATTTTGAAAAATGTGATATTTGTTAACTTTTTTATATATCTTATAGATTTGCCAAAACGTATTTTCCACGCCCACTATAACGCCCACAAATCGAACAAAACTTTTAAATTTTTGTATGTTTTTTTCATTTGATTATTTTTTTCCCAATTTCCAGCCATATTCCAGAAAATTTTGAAATTTCTCGTTGGCACTTCCACTAGTAGCTAGCACTTCCACTGAGTAACGGGTATCTGATAGTCGGGGAACTCGACTATAGCATTATATATTGTTTTGTTTAATATTAATCCCCAAAGAAAAATATAAAGTACAGTTAAAAGTATAGGCTCAACGCTCAAAGACTTATTATCATTTAGGTTGGCAGATAGGGTTACCAGCCTAAAATATAAAGGTTTACATTATTCCTATGAAGGCTCACTTTCTGACTTAACGACAAGTCACGTACCGAATACTCAAGTGGGAAAACCTCTCACCCAACAACAAACACACACCGCCCCCACACCAAAATAAAAAAAAATGGGGGGAAAACAAGAGCTTTTCCACGACGCATTTCAAAAACAAAGGAAGGAAAATTTCCCACTATTTCGCACAAGAGAGCATCTCACAACTCGTAGCGCGAAACTCAGAGAGAGAACTGTGCGATGCCGACTACGAAGTCGCTGTTGCTGTTTTCCACTTGCTTTTCTAACTGAATGGAAACTGGTCCATTCAAAATCCACACAATCAGTTTGTTTTGAAATTTCGCCCTGATGCGTTCGCTTTCTGAGCGCTCTCTCCGCTCTGCCAAAAATAATGAAACGCGATAAATACTCTAAAAAAAAATGAATTCAGAAAGTGGTTACTAAATTAACAAGTTAAATATATTACGGAATACCTTAAACCATTTTAAACGGCTTAAATGTATAAGAGGTACGGCAAAAAGTACTGGTTGAATAATGTGAAATACGCAAGAACAGTTGTCAGGTGCAGTAAACGTGTAAAGCAGGAGGGAAAAAAGTGAAAAGGAAACAATCAAATGTACAAATATTTAAAATATATGTACATGTGCCGCTGCATAGTGTGGACTTAGGATAACGTTTATACAAAGTCAGTGATATGCATATTTACGCAGTTACAACTCAGTGCAATTTCAAAATGTGTATTAAAAAACAAAACAAAGAAAGGAAAATTAAGAAAGGACACTAATTCGCTTAGTGCAAACAGTAAGTAACACAAACCATTGTCTTACTTTAACAAAAACCTTGTTGGGATAGACAACCCAACATATGTAAGTAGGAGAAAAGGTACTAGAAACACTTTTAGAAGCATTTAATATAGCTTTAATACATTTTAAGCTACATAGCAGGTCCTAATATCATGTAGAATTAAAAGTAAAGGCTAAGCGTCAAATATATGTATAATACATATACGAGTATATATGTATTTAAATTCGAAAATTTAAAGTGTTGCCCGTGTTAACAAGTTCCGACGGGAAAAATGCAACGGAAACCATAGAAATGGAAAACTGTAAGAAACTGAAAATTAATTGCACAATTGTAATGTTTTGTACTTTTTACAGCTTTTGGTTCCCACTTTAAGCCCCAAATGAAGTCCAATTTAACTTTTCAAACAATATTAAAATTAATTACACCAAGAATACCTCAGTATATGGAATCCTGGAAGTCCGAACTACCTATATTTTGCTGTTTCTCGCCTTTGTTTCCGGGATTTAACCAAACCCCCACATGATTACTCACATGACAGCAGAAAATAAGATTTATTACCACCGAACACAAAACCAAATTTTGCCATTTTTCTTTGCCTTGGTACCCTTTGGTTTTACCTTTCGGACTGAATGGCTTTTTTACGGTTAGGATTCTGGTCGAGGAATGAAACCGTTTAGCTTTTTGCCACCGCTGCTGTTAACGTCCGTAAAGTTTTAATGAGACATAGAGGATAATTCGGCATTATGCCAGCCCTAGGCTGAATCCTGCGGACCAGCTGCCATTAAGATTAGGTAATTTCTGTCTCTTTCTGTGCGGTGCGCAGACAAATCCACGAAATAAGTGGACAGGCCGTAAAAGTTAAGGGGACCGAGCAAACATAAACGCTGATTACCTCTAGGTATTAAACTCTTAGGATGTTTGAGCAAAAAGCGAGTGTCTGTCAGCAACAGGCGGATAAGTTGTTACACTTTCGCCATAAACATTGCTTGGGAGGAGTGGGAAGTGGGAAAACGCGTTTGTCGCATAAGATTTAGTTCTTATCTGGAAGGATCTCACCATACAAAAGCCTTAGATATTTAGCTTACTTTTCCTTCACTCAACTCACTTTACCTCAGTTATTGGTATGTACAAAGATTATTTGTTTGAAATTTATTTTGTATATAGCTTATAGAAAAAAAAAACATATGTAAAGCCTTTAATATTGATGGATTTTTCGAAATATGAGATATAGCAATGGCCAGCATCTACATACATTAAAATACTCAATCATCACAATCTACATTTTGCTCGGGCACCAAATAGCTTGAACATTTTGATCTCTCGATCATTATATTAGCATGCGGCAAGAATTAAAAAACAACAGAAAAAATTATAGCTTTACCCCCGCGCGTCTAATACTCTTCCCGATTTATGTACTCTTACAGATTAATAGATTTCCTCATGCACTCAACAATTTTATATTTCTGACTTCAATTAGCTTAAAATTTATTTCGGCATTTGTTTACTGCAGAATACTTTGTTAAAGATCTACGCTCGTACATTTCAATCTTGGCATTCACATATTATGCTATCGAAAGAATACTGAATAAGGAAAGATATTGCTCATAAACATGGCACGAAGCTAGTAACAAAACTACGCGGTTTTAAGTAAAAAAGAGGCAAGCTATCGAATACAAAAAGAACTCTAAATTTGGCCCCCTGTAAAAGAGCCCCATCTTAAAATGCTTCAAAGTATATATTTTGTTTAGGCAGCGATTCCGAAAACAAAAGTTCACCGGGCTCCATCCATCTAATCGATCGATGTGCTGATGCCTGTAATTAATTGTTTTGCCCGTTGACTTTGAGCAATTGCTGAAACATTCTTATGCCAAACGGGCATATGAAAACTCCCTCCCTCCAATCTCCATACAATTTAAATGGCCGCTGTACAAATTGCTCACGAGCAAGTATTAACAATAAATAAATATTATTCCGTTAGTGCGACCTCTTAGCAACTTTGCATGATTTGTCATCTTCATTGTGCTCAATTTGCTTATTCATTATTTGCTTCCGCTTGCCCATCGCAAATTACTTATTTTATTTAATATATTTTTAGTGATTGAATCTGTGCAAATATGCAATAATTGACAGTAGCAATAAAATGTCACTTGAGGTGAAGTAGAGGGGGAAACTGCAATTCAGCTGCAACCTTCTATGATTGCTAAAGTAACATAAAGCAATTAGGGTGATATGATTTTTCAATTGTGTGCCGGGCACATTTTGCTTATAAATGGCTTTGTCTATAAGGTATTTATTAAATACCCTAACTTCCAAATTTTAAAGGTCGTACGTGAGTTTAAGTACGCCAAGCTGGCCCTTAAAAATGTTCAGTTCCCATTTCCAGTAGCATTCTATGAATTGTAATTATGCTTCATCAGATTTTATCAATCAGTGATAAGAGGTATGATATAAGAGGTAGTATTATTCATATTAGAAGCTAGAAATGTGGAAGCATCCACAGAGATGCAAACTCCATGAAGTGTGATCCATGCAGCCAGATTCAATGGCCCAGTTCTTCACAATAAAGAAAGAGTAATTAGGAAAATGCAACGGGCTTAAGAAATTCCGTAATTGGGAGATCTTAAAGTACTGAGTAATTAAGATTACCAAACCGGCAAATTCACATAAATTAATTGGCGAAACGCTGTGTTTGCTTTATTTTGCCATTTTACTAGAATGGCTAATGGCCAGAGACCCAATTCGCCAAGCAACTGAATGACAACTTGTATAACACGAAAGCCAGCAAGTAAAACATGAATAAATAAAAACAAACACGCTTCATATGTTTCCCTACCGTGCACGTGCCCATCCTCCTCGATGTTTGTTCGTGGATAAATAGTCGCTGCACAACGTGACGTATGCGCGATGTGTGTCTCGCAGAATTACATATTTGCCTACATATTTCCATTATAAACGCATCGCAGGTGAAAATACTTTTCTAAGTGAATACCTAGGGTCGGTGTGAAATGAAGGGTGCTTTTGGGTTTGTAAATCTTTTAAGGTGGAGAAAACCAACACAACATTACAAGGTCCTACGACTGCCTTGAACTACTTCGCACCGCAATGTCTAGCTCAATGTGCGTTAGTGGAACTTATACTTGCCGACCGAAAATGTCGCGGTTAAGGGAACATGAACACCATCGTTTTTAGGTGTTGCACACACACATTGAGGGCAATTATTACGCTGATAAACAGAAAAAGTTGAAAATACTCGAGTTCCTCGACTGTCAGATACCCGGTATTTATTTCCCTTTTGAAAATGTACTGCAATTCTGTCACTTTATTATTTGTCTTGCCAATTCCTTTCGCTATCTCTCTAACGCCCACAAGCCGACCGTATTTAACCATAAATCTGCCCAATCATTTTTCCCACAGACCGGGCGAGGAAGATAACTTGCCAAATGGCAGAAGTGGTTGTTTTTATAGGAAATTGAATTTGATGATTAAGTTAGTCACGCATCTAAAGTCAGCAGATAGTTTTCCAATTATTTATGCAAATTGAATTAAAACGAAGAGCAAAAACTACAGATGAAAACTTCTTCTCATATATGTGGCTGCTAGGTCAAGTGCAGTAGTTATTGGCGGTCAATGTCAAAATTGTTGGCGAGATCTGACGATACCTGGATTCGTGCTTGGTTACGCTACATTTTCGATAAACTAGCCGGCAATTCTCATGTTCAGCACAGTCAAACGAGTATAGGGTATACTGATTGCCTAATTGAAACTTTTTGTTTCTTTTTGTAACTGAATTTTTGACAAACCGGTAGAAATTTGTAAGATCAATAAAAAAATGTAAAACAAGAGGGAAGGCTATAGTCGAGATCCCCGACTATCAGATACCCGTTACTCAGCTATTGCAAGTGCGTACGAAAAATTTCATATCGGTAGAAATTGCAAAAAATAATATAAAAACAAGATAGAATGCTGTAGTCGAGTTCCCCGACTATCAGGTACCCGTTAATCAGCTAGTGGATGTGCAAAGGAGAAATTTGAACCTTTTCAGGAAAATCGATAGAAATTGGTGAGAAAATAATAAAGTGTGGGCGTATTTTGGCAAATCTATAGAAATTTACAAGATATATAAAAAAGTGAAAAAATATCACAACATTTTTCAAAAGTGTGGGCAGTTTTATGCAGCTTGTGGGCCTTGGAGTGGGCGTGGCAAAGAGTTGTTTGGCAAATCTATAGAAATTTACAATATATATTTCAAAATTCAGTTTTATGCAGCTTGTGGGCGTTGGAGTGGGCGTGGCAAAGAGTTGTTTGACAAATCTATAGAAATTTACAATATATATTTCAAAATTCAGTTTTATGCAGCTTGTGGGCGTTGGAGTGGGCGTGGCAAAGAGTTGTTTGGCAAATCTATAGAAATTTACAATATATATTTCAAAATGACATTGTACAATTGTCCAAGGTATAAATATATTGGGAAGATTAAAATGCCGTTAATCTGATCGAAAAATTTATAAGGTTGTATGTTTTCACTAAATTAAACATTATTTGTATGACAGCACATTTTTAATATAATAATTGCAATAACATTGGGACTTGTAGTAATGGATGGGTAATGTCATATTCCCCTGAACGTTATTTTATCTCGAGTTGAAAACGAACCGCTAATTGTCGGGATCCAATTACATATGATGAGGAATAGGAAGTCGGTGCCGGCTTATGCAAATCCAAACATCCAAGATCCAAACTCGTTTTCAACAGTTGCTGCTCTTGTAAATAATATTCAAGGATCTCATTGTGCGGGGTATCAGGTTTTTTATTATAAACACGAAGTTGAATTGAAACTTATACGACACGGCTGCATGAATATTCCCGGCCAAGTTCGAGAACAAGTGGTGTAATATGCATCAAATGTTGGTGATATTTAGATATGGAAATTGCCAGAGGTATGGCAAATCGCAAAATGAATCGCCTCGCTTATAATCAATTGTACAATGAACCGCAAATTAAGCCCCACCCGATTGAAAACAGCAGCGACCACAGAACCTGACAATGGAGAAATAAAAACATTGTTAACACAGTTGGCTAGTCCGGAAAAATTAATAAGATACATAGATAAGTTGCTAGTTATAGATCAAATGAAAAAGTTGTATTTCAATTTGATCGTACTTGCTCGACTGATTGGACTCATAACCAAGTATTGAATTTCAAAGAAATAATATATTTTCAGCTTTGTTTGTCGTGTTTCTTATATGCAATTATAACCAGCAGATTTGGATATTTCAAATTTACACAAATATTATTGTAAAACTAGAAAAAAACTTTACCGCCCCCGATTTAGTATCGTTCTAAAATTTGATCACATTTAACAAACTCCAGTTAATACAAATGCTACTCTAAAAACGCCTTTATGATAAATAGATTAGATTTTGTTCAACGAAATCAGAACTTTACTTTACTATAAGCTTTGAATGCTTAAAAAACAAAATTCTAATTATAAATAAATTATAAATTAATAAATTTGATTTTTGTTCAAAATCAGAACTTTACTACTATAAACTGTAAATGCCAAAAAAATGCTCACAAAACTCTTTAAATCTGTAAGAAAATCACACCTTTACTTTACTTTAAACTTTAAATGCTTACAAAAATGCTAGCAAAAGTCTTTAAATCTGTAACAAAATTCAGAACTTTACTTTATTATAAACTTTAAATGCTTAAAAAAATACTCACATAACTCTTTGGGAAAATGATTTTAAACAAAATTCTAATTATTAATAAATAAATTAAATTTTTGTTCAACTTGTAACTTTACTTTACTTTACTATTAACTTTTAATGCCTCAAAAATGGTCACGAATCCCTTTAAGTCTGTAACAAAATCAGAACTTTATTATAAACTTTAAATGCTTAAACAAATGCTCACAAAACTCTTTAAGAAAATGATTCAAAACGAAATTCTAATTATAAATAAATTATAAATAAATACATTTGGATTTTGTTCACCTTGTAACAAAAACAGAACTTTACTACTATAAATTTTAAATGCTTAAAAAAAATTCTCACAAATCCATTTAAACCTGTAACAACATCAGAACTTTACTTTTTTAACTTTAAATGCTTAAAAAAATGCTCACAAAACTCTTTAAGAAAATGATTCAAAACGAAATTCTAATTATAAATAAATGCATTTGATTTTTGTTCAACTTGTAACAAAATCAGAACTTTACTACTATTAACTTTAAATGCTTAAAAAAAATGGTCACAAAACTCTTTAAGGAAATGATTCAAAACGAAATAAATTACAAATAAACAAATTGGATTTTTGTTCAACTTGTAACAAAAACAGAACTTTACTATTATAAACTTTAAATTAAGAAAATGATTCAAAACGAAATTCTAATTATTTCCGATCATGCAACAACTACACTGTTCCATACTATAGTTCTTTCATGGTTCCAACGACGAAAGTACCAATCCCTTTTCTATCGGTAATCTTGATCAGGATCATGGCCATAGTCGATCTGGCCATGTCCGTCTGTCCGTATGAGCGCTGTAATATCGGGAACATTAAAAGCTGGAGAGGTGGGATTAAAGATGCAGATTCTAGTGTTGACTACGATGTGCAAGTTTGTTTCAGATGGTTGCCCACTGTAATGCCAACAAACCGCCAATTTAATATTTATGCAAATTTGTATCGATTTGTCAAACCGCCACGCCCACAAACCACCCAAAACCGCCACGTTCGAACTGTTGAAAAATGAGTTAATGTGTCTTGCCAATTTCTGTCGGTATCCCAAAAACATTTTGGAAACGCCCACTCTAATTGTATGTCAGTATAAGATCTCGGGATCCAAAAGATCTAGAAGATTATTATTAAACATGCAGACTGCAGAGTCGTCAACTTTGTGCATCTGTGCTTATTTCCACGCCATGCTATTTTTATTGTTACGCCCACAGTTTTCAGAAATTTGTTGATATATTTTTATTGATATCTTTATTAACATCTTGCCATTTTATAGATATGCAAAAACATTTTAACGACCACAAATTACAAGACCATGCTAGTATTAAATTTAACATTAATTAAGATTTTGGGGCGTACCAAGGCCACTGGCAGGGACGTAACCAAAAAATGTAACTCGCTCTGCATAAATGTATCTGCCATAGCCTCCCACAGCACTCGCATTGAAACAAAGGCGTTGTGAGTGTTCAAGGGAGTCCCCTTCAGGCCTTGACTTTAAATTGCAGCCGCATCAAGCCTCTCGTTTCGAGGACATACATATGTGGATGCTGTAGCCACTCAAATTAAGTTGGCAAAGTGCACTGTCAACGCGCATTTCATATGCATAAGGGGGCCCTTCCTTTTTCCGCCAATCACCTTGCCGTGTTTATCATAGTCCAAGTCCAGTGTGTGGTTAGCCCGCTTCTGGAAGCTATGGAGGTTTGAATTACCCAGGCAACCTACATTTCAGGTTGCACATAAAAATATTTAAGCTACAGAACATTTAATAATTTAATAAAACGAATCCATAACTCGAACTTCCCAAGTTTTTGTTAACGCCGTGTGAACGTCGAGATCCCAGGAACTCTACAAGTTAGAAAGTTGAGATTAAGCATGCAAATTTCAGAGACATAGGCGTAGCGGAAGTTTGTTGAACCATGTTGCCACGCCCACTCTAACGCCCACAAACCACGCAAAACTGCCACGCCCACACCTTTAAAAAATTTTTAAGCTTTTTTTAATTTTATTATTTTAAGGAAAATTTTCCAAAAAATTTTAAAATTTCTCGTTCGCACTTCCACCAGTTGAGTAACTCGAGCATTCTGTCTTGTTTTTATTAATTTTGCATTTTGTTCTATAGTTGGTACTAGTATTATAAAAAATCAAATAAGAGACTAACCTTTATTAGCTAAATTTTGAGTTTTTCGGGTGAACGTATGCTTCACTGTTTCTCTTTTGGACTCAGATAACATATAACTCTAAAGAGAAATATTGTTATTTCACGGGAATTAATATAAAATGGCAATTTCTATGATCGTAATAAAGTCTAACCAGCTAGGACTCAGCGCTACGCTAAGAATAAGGCTTAAATCCGATTAATTCGCTATTTCCTTTTTCTGCTCATATAATACCTTCTGAAAGTATTGGAACCAAAGTGCGGTGTTCGTTGTTCGTTTTGCTTGGATTTGGAAGGCAGATCGATACGCCACAAAACTGACGGTAATCTCTTGATATTCGGCGAATCACAAGCGCTACAGACTTTTAACAAGCGAGAAGCCGCGAGAATTGTAAACTGATACCCGGTATACGCGATAGCCAATACAACCGGTTGTTCGGGACCGCGAAATCCCCCAACTATATATGAAAATACTCTTTTTTCTTGGGTTCCTGGGGAACTAGGGGGCATTTGTGGCAGTTCCGATAGTTTGTTTTTAGCATTTCGTTTGTGTTTGTCTGTCTGAAACAAACGTTATTTTGAAAACATAAAAAGCCTTGAGTTTCTTGAATACGAGTCTTTTTAAAATCAGAGCTATAACCATTTATATTCCGGTAATATATTTAAACAACCGCAAAATTGCACTACATATAATAACATTATATATAGTCGCATTCCCCAATTTAGAATAAGCAACCCTTTGTTTCCAATTAATTTTGGATGAACGTATCCAAACGAAACTATAGGGTCATGGAACTATGTATTTCAACAATGCAAAATAGCTCGATATATTTAGTTCTACGGCATTTCGAATCTAGATTAGCGGGAAAATTCCTATAAATAAATAAAATAAAATTGAAATATTGTCTTCCAAAATGATGTTATCTTAATACCACAGATGGAGAGTCAAGGTCCTCAGCGAACTAGACATTTCAAAATATTTCGTATAAGATAATACGTATAAGATATACTCGTATGAAAGATATACCGAAAAATTGCACTTGTAAAGTTCTGCCTTTTTATCGAACGTAATGTCAGTTATCGATAAGAATATGGATCTATGGGGCTTAATCGCGATTTAAACACGAAGCGATCCAGCTCCACTAATTATGTAGTGATTTTGCTACAATGGGATGTGATTTTACACAGAACTGAAGAACTGCAAAAATATTATTGCGGAGGGTCAGGACCCTTAAACCCTTAATCAAGTGCATTAATTAAATGGGTAGTAATATAACCTACATGTATGCTTTTTCCAGCACAATTGTACAGCTCTGTACAACGGACACTTCTGCGAGGAGGAAGCCCCACAGCTTTAGAATGAAATGGAGATGCAAAGCTACTCTGGTCATGGACCATCGACAGGCACATCAGAAACAGCAACAGCAACAGCAGCAGCAGCATTTGCATCTGCACCAAACAGAGCAGCAGCATTCACACAGCGACACTTCAAATGTCGGCTGGAAGAGGCGGGTTGGCCTTGGGTTTGCCAGCCGTTTATTGACTGCGAAAGCAGCCACACCAGCAGCACATCCTCCACATCCAGCAGCAGCAACAATCCCTTCCTGCCCACCAGCAACATCCCCATTGACGGACGCAGCCACGCATTCCAGTGTGCGCGGCAAGCATTCGACGAAGTGGAGCACAGCGCATTCTATGGCTGCGATGGGGAAAGCCCATTATCTGAAAACTGTACATTGAGGCTGAGGGCGCGACTGTTGCGATGGCCGTACGCGGCGTATGAGAACTTTCGACTGGCAATCAACGGGGTCCTCAGTGATTATGCGAGTGATACACTCGCTGACAGTTCGAGCTGCGGTGGTGGAGACATGGTATTGCAATGTGAGCTGGGCCGGGCCCAGGAACTATTGCTTTGTCATTTGCAGCAACGCGAGAGCGAGCCACTGCAGCAGCTGGGAAGCGTGGAGGAGGAGAGCTTCTCGAACGACAGCCTTCTGGAGGCCTTTCAAATCGAGCTGGCCCCAGAACGCAATGGACTCTGGAGCTTCCTTAATCTGAGCGAGCTAATGGAGTCCAACTACGACTCCCTGGGAATCCTGAATGTCACCAACACCAGCTTAGCCATGATTTTACCGAACTTTACAGCCCTGAACACAACCACGACCTGCACTGCGGACACGGCTAGCGACCTCGGGGGAACAAAGACCTTGCTGGACTACAGTCCCCACGGCTACGACTGGCTATTCTTGTTCGTGGTGTTCTTTATCTTCGCGGGTGGCCTGGGTAATATCCTCGTATGCCTAGCCGTGGCCTTGGACCGGAAGCTGCAGAATGTCACTAACTACTTCCTGTTTTCTCTGGCTATAGCCGATCTCCTGGTCAGTTTGTTCGTGATGCCCATGGGTGCGATACCAGCTTTTTTGGGTAAGTGCTTAAAGGACCTTTGAATTCAAATCAGCAACTCAAAAATATTACCTAAAACATTTTGCTTGGAGTTAGAGGGCAGTTTATACAAGACAGAATGCTATAGACGAGTTCCACGACTATCAGATACCCGTTACTCAGCTCGTGGAAGTGCGGACGAGAAATTTCCACATTGTCTGGAATTCGGTAGAAATTGGGGAAAAAATAATTAAATGAAAAAAAACTTAAAAATTTGTTTAAAATGTGAGCGTGACAGTTTTGCGCCTTATCTCAAGTTTGTAGATTTTGTAGTTCCTGAGATCGAGGCGTTCATACGGACAGACGGCCATGGCCAGTTCGACTCGGCTATTGATCCTGATTAAGAATATATGTATATACTTTATATGTCAGCAAAAGAAAAGATGTTCATTGTAATTGTATCAAAAATGATACATGGTTATTGAAGTTGTATTGATTTACATAGCTTACATAATTACATACATTACTTACATACATTATTTACATAAAACTCTCTATTTCAACTCATCGATATGCCGATGCTAAGTTAGGCTAAAAGTATGTACATGTATTAGTCACTTTTTAGAAAATTATAGTTTTGGATTTAATTTGATCAAAATCTGACTTCTACATCATATGACAGCTATCCTACGAGGTCAAACCACTATTAATTCAAACAGCATGTGTTTTTTGCAGTGTGCAATGTTCAACACACGCTAATTGTAATAATATATATTTTATCTAATGTCTATTTTTTGCGCAATTTTCACAACAAAAATATGAGTAATTTATGTTCTCGAAAAATCGAGTGCCTTTGAGTGCAAGATATCCTTTCCTTTATTGACGAAGTGTAAACAAGGATTTTTCCTTGGCCTACAAATCAGATAAGTTTGGGCATGATACATGAACAGGTGTGTCCCCTTGAACATCGCTAGCAAGAGGTCATTGTAAGATGGGTTCCCAGGCGAGAGCAAGCACAGGTCGAATATATTTAGACTTTATAATTATTAGCTGCTTTACTTTAAATTATAGCGCGTTAGACCGAAGGCAGGCGTTCCGCGATTTTTGGAATTTGTCTCTCCTCCGTTCTCCATTTTCCCGTCGTATACACTGCCCAAAAACTACCGCTCATTAGGACAAGCAGCAAACTAAACATACATAAATACATAAATAATAACAAAACATACTTTATAGAAACCATATCCAATATTTATAATCGTTACTTGTAGAGTAAAAGGGTATACTAGATTCATTGAAAATTATGTAACAGGCAGAAGGAAGCGTTTCCAACCATATAAATCATATCTTGATCAGGACCATTTAAAGTAAATATATTCTTGATCAGGATCAATAGCCGAGTGTCCGTATGAACGTCGAGATCTCAGGCACTATAAAAGCTAGAGTTGATTCCTGGGACATAGACCACGAAACAGGGACTAACTCTCACAATCCGCAAAAAAAGTATGCAACATTATTGTATCATCAATCTTTTTTTTTTTTATTACAATTTTTTTTAATTGGACCTTTTATTTAAATCTTGGATGTCTTCTTGTCTTACGTAGCTAGGACCAGCTTCTTTTCAGTTGAGTTGGAATATGAGTCCAAATGTCCGATTACCCTGAAAGTAAAAAATATTAGAATAATGATTAAAAAATGTATTGAAACAATTTACCTTAAATAATCACTTCTGTGAGTTGTATGTGTTGTTGCTTATCAAATGAATCCATTACTTATAATAATTTATATAACAAAATTCGGAAATACTTACCATTTTCCTAAAAATGAAAATCTAATCGCAAGTGAGTCCGCAAAAAGGGCGCTTGCCTATTAGAAAAGGAATCCAATCATAATTTGTCATTGCATGTTCCGTTGCGCATCACAAATGCTTCGGTGTGAAATGAAATACTGATGAATTTGTTTGAAATTTCTTCACCAATTCCTCGGAATGATTTAGCACATTGTGCGCTCATTCTCACGGATTTTAAAATTTAGGAAAGAGCTGGCGCGCAAGGCAGTCAGCGCTGCATTGTGGAATTGCAGTGTACTTTTTGGTCGTACCCTGCAATTCCATTAAAATATTCTAAAGACTTTAGTTTATGGCAATACTTTTTTAGTCAAAAGGGACGCGCGCTCGATGGAATGGCATCTGTCTATTGATTTCAAAGTCAAGGGGTTTTCTGTTGTCAAGCAATTAACCCTCAAAACAAAATCAATGCGAGTTAAAGTGACATATCGTACTATATGCACATTTATTAGATTAGAAAATTTGGGAGTTTCCAGTATATAACTTGAAGTCTCACCAAATAAGATTTCCTTTTATCGAAATGTGCATATGGCACATAAATTTTCAAGTTAACTGTTTCTACCCTGAACTTTCATATTTGTATCTGGAGATCAAAATTATAATCTGTATATTACCTTTTATTGTATTTTTCAGGCTATTGGCCACTTGGCTTTACCTGGTGCAACATTTATGTGACGTGTGATGTACTGGCCTGCTCGTCCAGCATATTGCACATGTGCTTCATTAGTTTGGGACGCTATATGGGAATAAGAAATCCATTGGGCTCGAGGCATCGATCTACCAAACGATTAACTGGTATAAAGATAGCCATTGTCTGGGTGATGGCCATGATGGTATCCAGTTCAATAACAATGCTTGGTAAGATAGAGAACGGAGGGACTGAAACGTACCTGCTACAAAAGTATATTTATTGTGCATTTAGGTCTGGTCAATGAGAAGAACATAATGCCCGAGCCTAATATATGCGTGATCAACAATCGCGCCTTCTTCGTGTTTGGATCTCTGGTAGCTTTTTATATTCCCATGCTGATGATGGTTACCACATACGCTCTGACTATTCCCCTTCTCCGGAAGAAAGCGCGATTTGCCGCCGAGCACCCGGAAAGTGAGCTTTTTCGCAGGTATGTAAACGTACTGACATAATATAAAAATACAACAGAGAGTTGCTCGATAATCATATACCCATTACCCATTATAAAAGCGGTACGACTACTAGTTGTAGTCACAGAGAAAAGAACAAGTGAGGAGAGGGAAGTAAGAGATATGATTAAAAACCCACATACACACTTTATGATTAAACTTATCCTAAAAAAATATGGTACGCGAAGATTAATTCCTGCATTACTCGGCCCAAAGTAATCTGACAGTTGTTAACCGGCAGTTGAACGAATTACTAGTACAGACTAGCTTCAATTTTTGTGTTGCCTGCACACAATCGTTCCGTGGATGGTAACTGCATTTCCGGTACGACCTCGGACCCTTAATCATCTCTCGCAATTTGTACCAAATGGAAACTCGACCAAGTGAACGAACTAGCCCTAACTCAATCCAGCATCTAATTATTGCGCCGTCCCTCTTGCTCTAAAAATCTATACACTGAAGAAAGTCACCTAGAGATAGAACACAATTTTCTGAGTGCATCCTTGATGCTCATACGTTCATGTTCTGCAGGTTGGGTGGACGCTTCACCTTGAGGCCGCAGCAGAGCCAGCAGCAGTTGCAGATGTTCAGTAACTTTTCTGGCGGCAACAACAAATTCCTATCTATGGGCGACAGCAATCGCAGCTTCAACACTGCAGGAGTGGCTGAGAGTGGAACTCCAACCAGAAGGAGAGGCGTGGAGCCCGCCGAACGACCTTTGATGCAACAGCGAACGGCGAGCAGCAGGAGCATGGGCACGGTTAGTTTTCGTAATGGCGTCAACGTGAGCAGCGGCACCGGCGGAAGTGGGCACAGGACAACAGGCACTGCCCACAGCAGCTTCCGGTTCTCTGGCGCCGGCATCCTGCGGCACTCGTCGTCTCCCGCCCCGAGCTGCCACTCCACAAGGACGACGCACTCGAGCTGCTTCTGGCGCAAACACAGCGGCTATCCGAACCTAATGGACAGGTAATTGGAGAACACTTGAAAACATAATTACATGATAGATTTATAGATTTACTGCAAATTATTATTAGATTATTCTCAAAGCCAAAGTGCACGGTCGCACTGAGCATTGCCAACAATTCAAAGCAATAGCCAAATCCACAAAATCAAAATATTTTCTAAAATTGTGTGCGTGACAAAGATCGGAAACACTTCCTTCTACGAATCGAGCTTACTTCTTTTGTTCTAAGATCAAAGGGTATGATAGTGTCACGCAACGTACTATCTTTTTTTTGTAAAAAACGATTTTTGAATAACTATTTCTCATCTTTTAAAAGTTCTCTGGAACTAAAAGCATTCAACATTTTTGGCTGGCGAAGATGTTTTTGGAAATGCACCATATCCATAACAACGGACAATCATAATTCTAAATACAATTTTTTAATAAAGCGATTAAGTCCGATTACCAATTCTGAAATACCGATTTGAATGGTATGGCCATGACCTTTGGCCATTGCCAAAAGATAGAAATAATGCAGAAAAAGTTGACGTTTTCTAAAATTGATACATTTAAGTCACCTTAAACAATACAAGAAGCAATAACATGAGTCAACACCACAGTCGAGTTACCCAACTATCAGGTACCCTTTACTCAGCTGGTGGAAGTGCGAACGAGAAGTTTTAACATTTTTCTGGCATATCGATAGAAATTGATAAAATAATCAAAATATTTTTCAAAAGTTTGGTCGTGGCAGTATTGGGCGTTAGCCTGGGCGTGGCAACAAACGTAAGCTGCGTCTACGTCTCTGGAATCTGCATGCCCAATCTCAACTTTCTAGCTTTTATGGTTCCTGATATCAAACCGTTCATACGAACAAACGGACATGGCCAGATCGACTGTACTACCGATCCTGATTAAGAATATATATACTTGATACGGTCGGAAACATTCCTTCACTTAGTGAATCTAGTATACTCTACTAGATAAAGACACGGCATTGTCGACTCGCTTGGTAGTTCTTGTTACCACCTTTTTAAACTTATCTTTTCATTGCTTTTTTAATGTCGAAATATATAAAATGAAGTAACGACTCCCCATAAATTTTAATATAATATCAAAAATAAGTCTTTCTGCGTTTAGTAAATTAGATTATCGGTATGGATTTCAGACTGCCTATACATATTAGACTTTTTTGGTATCACCCAACAGCCAACCAAATCGACGGGCCTCTGTGCGAGTCACCATCTCCCAGCCACAATTGGGTTACCCGACAAATGTATGTGAAAATGGGAGTGCAGCTGTTGGAGCTACGGAGGTGGGGGTTGGTGGCAATGGCTTATCAGCTGGCAGGACGAGCAACTCATCTCCTGGAGGCACGAGTTTAATGGAAATCGCAACCATCCAGGGATCGACTATAAGCCCAAGTCAGGCTGCTGGGGGCAATCACCTGCCGCAACAGGTAAAGACGAAGGCTTTAAACCCGGAAGAACGGCAGTGCAACAAAATGCGGCCCTTTAAATTTGCCTTTAACCGCGTTGCCACGCCCACCCTCAACTTACGGTAAGTAAGGGTACTACAATATCCTTTCTAACTAGTTTTTAGGCTAACCATAACCAAACTTAAACCGTAAACTAACTCAGTGGTGAATCATAGTAGTTTTAATCAAGGCTTGGTTCGGTTCAGAGATCGCAGCTTAACGGTTGATAAGGTTTTTATACTCGTTACTCGTAGAGGAAGATCTCAGGGACTACAAAGTTAGAATATTGAGATTAAATAGACGCAGCGCAAATTTGTTGACCCTTGTTGCCCACAAACAGGAGCATTAAGTGGAACACCTCTTACAGGGTCGCTTAGTATAGGCATACCATAAATAGTATATTTATAATTTTTCTTGAACCTAACACGATTTAATTAATAACATAATTTTCCAGAATTGTGTGCAAGTGTAACTTTTAATCTTTTGTCTCTTAACGTCGCTTTTGTATTTTTTTTTAAATGCCTAAAAAAAACACGCCCACTCTGGCTCATTTTTTCGTAAACTCGTTAAAAAATTTAACAGGTAGAATGAACTGACTCTGACTTTATAAAGTTAAAAAGTTATAAAGTTATGTACATAAGTATTTAGACAAGAAAAATATTAAATATTTTTGTTTGTAACTTTTTGTTTATTTAAAGGATAAAGGAAAATGATTTATTCATTTTAGTAAATAGGTAGACTATCGTAGTTAAATTAAGTAATATAAACATATGGACGCCCTTAGCGTCTATCACTTTTTGGAGACGTTTTGGTGCAGACTGTACCAAGCTGTGGATACAATCTATTGAAATATCCTTCCGTAAGGCTTGAATTTCGAAAATCGTTTCTTCGCGACTTCTAGATAAGTTTGCAAATCTTTTTTTTATATAATGTGACTATTATGTGACCAGAGGTTTTCTTTTATGTTTATGTGTTTACGCCAACATCTTTTAGAAACTGTAATCAGTTTGTCCTTATGACAGGGTGCATTATCCTGCTGGAGTATGAAGGGCTCCCCAATTTATCACCAGAGGGGAATGCATGATTATTTAGGACATTCGAATATTTTCTTTGATTCATGGTTTCATCAACCGGAACTATATCTTCCAAGCCAGTGAAGGCTACGCATCCTCAAAAAATAACAGACCCTCCTGAATGACTTATTCGCTCACATATGGGTGCCACTTTTTTCCGATATTGTTTCGATAATGAACATAAACTTATTTTTGAGAAGTGATACTCAAAAGGGCTTTCGTCGCTCCAAAATAAATTTCAGAATGACTCATGCTTACCATATTTGTTAGCAAAGTCGAGGCGCTTTAACTAATTTCGTGGAGTTTTTAGTGGTATAACTCTGCTAACATATGTTCTCAAATCGGCTTCCTCAAGACGTGTGCGAACCGTTCTTTTACTCATATCGAGTTTTGCTTCTTATCTTAGTTTTTCGCCAACCGATCAGGGAGTTTGTAGAACATTCTGGTGAAACTTCCCTAAATATACCATCCTCTTTTTTAAGTTGTTTTACGTGGTCGGCGACGGGCAAGGCTTTTGTTGTGTGTGTTTGAAAAGTATGTAACAGGCAGAAGGAGGCGTTTCCGACCATATAAAGTATATATATTCTTCATCAGAATCAATAGCGGAGTCGAATTCGCATTGTCCGTCCGTCAGTCCGTTTGTCACGCCCACACTTTGGCCAGAAAAATGTTGAAACGTTTCGTTCGCAAATCCATCAACCGAGTAATAGGTATCTGATAGTCGACTTGACTATAGCATTATCTCTTGTTTTTTTTTTACCATGGATATTCGCAGATATGATATAATTAAGACATTTCTATATCGCTCACGCACTAGCCGAGAAAAGGGTATCTGATAGTTGTGGAACTCAACTATTGGTTTCTCTATTATATTTTTATAAAACTACTGGTTTTATCTTTGATTTGGTCCATGATGCTGTTATTAGCTTATATGTATTTGGTACTATTTTCCGCTGTTTGGATGTTAACTGCTAGGTAATGATTTAGTATGGACAAAAGAAAAATGACAAACTGTAAAACAAGAATCTCTTTATTTTGATTTGACTTTTTAACCAATATGAGCAATTCTTTTATTTTTTCTTACAGTTTTCTAAACAATCGCAGTAAACGAAACAGCTTGTCGGCAAATGCGGTTGCCACGGAGCAGAAGGCCACCAAGGTGCTCGGATTGGTGTTCTTTACCTTCGTTTTGTGCTGGTCACCTTTCTTTATCTTGAACATTATATTTGCCGTCTGCCCCGAGTGCCAAGTGCCGGAGCACGTGGTGAACACCTGTCTTTGGCTTGGCTATGTCTCCTCGACGATCAATCCAATCATCTACACCATATTCAATCGCACGTTCCGGGCTGCTTTTATCCGCCTGCTCAAGTGCAACTGCGAACGGTGAGTAGAACCAAAGACATTAGAACAGTGGGGTTTAATTAGAGAAAATATGAACTATGAATAGGAATTAATGTGCAACGTGAGACTAGAGACTGAATAAGCAGCGACAAGAATCCAACGCTTTCCAAATATTTTTCAGGCCATGGCTGCGCTGAAGGGAATACTTTGAATTTAATACGCGGTTGAACAGGAAACTTTGTAAAAATTTTAAGACTTGGTAGAGTTTCCGCACATTGTTTGGCACAATTTCATAAACCTTAAAAACAAACTATGCCAGCAATTGGCACAAATTTAAAACGCTCTGCGTCCAAATTAAAAAGTATTCACATCCGAAGTATCCATATAGTAGTTTCCTGCCGCTGACTTCTGACTGAAACCCAATTGACTCGAAATGGCTTAAAATGGCACAGCCAATAACGAAGCTATTGCCATCCAATTGCAGTTCCGGCCGCCCGCTGCGCTATCGTTCCGTGACAGAAGGACGAGGCGCCCTCAGCCTGTGCGCCCCTTCGGCCCTGCCGCTGGCCATATCCTTCCAGGGGGCGCCACTCATGACGCCATCCCCGGCAAATGCGACGCCGTTGAGCGAGTTCCGCGGCAGCTGCCACACTGTCACAGGCGACGAGTCCTGAACCATCGGGAGCAGCATCGTGTATCTGGGAGGAAATATACGAATTTACAACGACGTAACGGCGAAAACCAATCGGAGTCTACTGTAATTCAGGAAGACTCATGCTAACCTTTTAAATCACAATCAATTTGATGAATTTTGTCGATGCTGTATAGAATAAACTAAGTTTTTAAGTCATTGCATATCATTAAAGGAGAAACATAGGAACAAGTTCAAAAACAGAGTGCAAGAGTTGGCGGTACGATGCTGACTGTGTTTCACTTTCATTTTTACTTTGCTTTCTTTATCAAACACAAAATCATTAACGATAAGTATGATTAGTGCAAAATATAATAAGAAAACGTGAGTATTAGTATTCGTTTTCCTATCCACTCTCATAGCATTTTTATTGTATATAGATTATAGGGGGAGTAAGTGTCTTCATTGTAAGTAAGCGTCTGTTTAATAATTTAAAAAAAATTTAAGAATTTTTATACATTTGTCGGTGGTATTTTGCAACGCTGCACTTTAGGAAATTTGACCACTTTTTCTGGCCTAAATTAGCCCATATTTTTTATGATACCAAAAATTGATACCACCTTTTATATTTTTTGTAGAGTCACACTCCAGGACGGAGAAAGCATTTTGCATTGATTTACACTAGACCAAATCTATCCCTATCCCAAAAAGTGTGGGCGTGGCACCGCCCTTTATATTTAAATAACTAATTTTCGTAAAGGCTTTCTCCAATTTCGTATGCTTTTCCTAATCTACGCGAAAAATAACAGATCATATAGTGTTATTATATTATAAGCTAACAACAATAATAATAATACAAATTGTAAAAATTCAGCAATCATCCTTTATACATATGTACATACATATCTCCTTTTCAGCACAATATTGCTGTGAATTTGGAAGAGTGGCGTTAAGTCCTAAAATGTAAAATTACTCGCAAAATCGTATAAAGTGTAATTTTAAATAAAAAATATCTATACAAGAATTAAATAAGCAACAATATGAAGTGCATTTTGTTGATGGACTCTGCTGGACGCACTTTAAATCTCTTTTGATATTTAACAGGAAAAGGGAAGCGTTTCCGCCATATAAAGTATATATATTCCTGATCAGGATCAATAGTTAAATGGAACTGTCCGTATAAACGCCTCGATCTCAGGAATACAAAAGCTAAAATGTTGGGATTAAGCTTGGAGTTTCCAGATACATAGACGCAGCTCAAGTTTGTTTCCAAGTGTTGCTACGCCCAGTATAACGCCCACAAACCGCCCAAAACTTCCACGCCCACACTTTTGAAAAATGGTGTGATATTTTTTAATGGTTTTTATATAGTTTGTAAATTTTTATAAGTTTGCCAAAAAAACATTTTGGCACGCCCATCTAACAAGTCACGAGCAAGCTTTTAAAAAATGTTAAAGCTTTTTTTCATTTTTGTTTTTTTTCCCTAATTTCTACCGGTATTCCAGAAAATGTTTAAATTTCTCGTTCGCACTTCCACTAGCTGAGTAATAATCCGGGAACTAATTCTCTCTTGTTTTTTGCTATTGAAATGACAAAAACATAATACAAAATACACTTATTAAAATGCCTTTTACAGAAAGGGAATTAACGGTTTGGCTTACAAAGATATTGCAACTTTTGTAACGGGGAAAAACTAAACTTTGCATATATGTACATACAGTAGAATCCGGTTATAACGACTCCGCCTATAGCGTCAGTCCGGTTATTGCGACGGAAACTCGGTTGTTCCCCATACAAAGTTATATGAAAGGTCCTCCAGTTAGTACGTCTGCGCTTTTAGCGACAAACCGCTTATACCACCGAGATTTTTCATGATTCAACCGGATATTGCGACGTGCCTTACAAAAATACAGAAAAATATTTACAATAATTTACAGTAATTATTTTAAATAATTACAAATAAATAAAAAGATGATTAAATTATTAATTACGCACGGCGTGCGTGTGCAGACCTCATGCCTTTATTCCATGAGGGGTCCCGTTATATTTCTAGTTTTTTCTGCTTTTTTCCAATAAAACTTAATGCGTAAATTCGCCAAATGCGAGTTAATGCACTAAATGCGCATGATGAGCTTATTCAGTTTAAGCCGACGCTTGTGCATTAGGCCCACAAAATGTTTTTAAAACGAAAGTGGATTCCTACTCTGGCAGTCAAAGAGATCGGTTGTGTCGCGCGCATGCAAAAGTGATTTTTTTTTTTTGCTTATCGGTGCATTCCCTTTTGTGCTCAAGATAGCACAAATCATTTATTTGGGCGCTGCTTTGAGCGGTGTCGGCAGTTTGACAAAAACAAAAAGTGCATCAGGTGAAGTGCATTCAAACGGTGCTTTCTGCCCTTCGGGCAAGTCATCAACCTCACCCCGCGCAGAACTGCACAAGAGGTAAACAAACTTTGCTTATCAGTAAAACCGACCTGTTTATGCTCTGTTCCGGACATTTGGGCCCGCAAATTATTTGCTGAATACTAAGACAATATAAAAACAATGAATGAAAACAGTTTCGATGACTCTCAGCTTATAAAGAAGCAGATTGATCATGAAAAAATTTTCTCAATAGCTGGAAAATTACCTAGTAAGATTAGAGATGAGTGTCGATCGGAAATTCAACGCATTACATGCAATAAGTCTCAAAGTAGTCCCACCACAACAACAGTGACATTTTCTAGTGCCAGTAGCAGCACCATATACACAATGGCAAATCCCACAATGAGCAGCATCTGTTCTGGTTCAAGTGTAGCAAACCAAGAATGTTCCCGACATTGCAGCAAAAAATCTAAGCGGTGCTGCCAGAAGATTACTGGATGATCAAAATCGGAAAGCAGGCAAGAGAAAAAATGCAAAGCCACTGTCCCCCTTCCTTAAACCGAAAAGAGTGAGCAGTACCCAGGGCCTGCACTTGGTCCCCACAATTAACCAGAAGGCAAGCTCTAGTAACAGGTTTGCTATTCTCGACACGGACATCTTTACTAATGAAGAAAACGGGGAAGACATGATGTCTGAGGATGCCGATGATGCTAGTGCCCGCATGGACGAATTTCAATCTGCAGAAAACAATACTGCCAGTAAATCCCAGGAAACATCTAACGCCAACAATCAACTCAAAGATTCTAAAAAACCACCCCAAATTGTTGTTAATATTAGCAACTTAAATGACCTATTTGAGCTTATACAAGAAAAGGCAAGTCTAGATAACGTCGTAGTCAAAGCTAACCAAGGGGAAACAGTCAGAATATTTCCCAAAGACAGTGACACTTACAGAAAAATTGTTAGCTATATGGATGAAATTGGTATGCAGTTTCACACTTACCAAATGCTGACAGAAAAAGCACACAGAATTGTAGTAAGGGACTTACATCACAGCACACAAAACAAAGATATAACGGCCGATCTGAAATGTCTAGGCTATGAAGTACTTCACATTCACAACCCTAGTTCAAGGATTAATAAAGATGAAAAACTTAATATTTTTTTCATTAACATTAAGCCCTGCCCTAATATTAATGAAATTTATCACGTAAAGACCCTTTGCCGACAGAAAATACGGATCGAAAGGATGCGAAAGTCCAGTGAAATTGCACAATGTCGACGTTGCCAGGAGTATGGCCATACAGCTAAATACTGCCGCAGACATCCAAATTGTGCCAGGTGTGGTGAAAATCACCAAACCACACAATGCACACGCCCTGTAGATGCTCTGCCCACATGCTATCACTGTTCTCACGATCACATGGCTAGTTATAAAGGTTGCCATAAGTACCAGGAGCTTCTCCGCAGATCTATGGGGCCTGCGAAGAAGGCGAATCACTTAAATAGGAAGAATCATGGGTTCAACCATAGAGATCAGCAACAGTTTCCTTCCGTGCAGATTAATCGCCGTAAGAGTACCAACCAGTCAACTGAACATCAGCAACCAACACAACAACACCAAAATATGGTACAGCATCAACCATCTATAGGCCCTGGGGTAAATACAAAAATATCCTATGCCACAGTAGCAAAAGAATACTCTAATACAACTCCCTCCAAGGATGGACCAGCTCAGCGACGTTTATATAACTTACAAACGCAACAGCTATCGCAGCAACAACGACTGAACATTCAGCAAAATAATTCACTTGACGTCCAAGCATTGTTACAACAGCAACAACAACTGTTCCAAGAATGGCAGCAGGAAATGCAACAACAACAACAACAACAACATCAGTTTCTTATGTGGTTGCAACAGCAGCAACAAGATCAGCAACATCATAGAAATCAAACCAATCAACGACTTGAAAAACTTGAAAGAATGGTATTTGAAATAACCATCATGTTAAAGCAAGGAGCTGGGAATGAACATACCTACCAGCTTTCTAACAACGCTTCACACCCACAATGAATCCACTAAAGATTCTTATTTGGAATGCTAACGGCATTTCAAGAAAAGCTAAAGAAATTGAGCTTTACGCGCACAATAATAGCGTGGACATTCTTCTTTTGACGGAACTTAGAATTAAAAGGGGATACTGTAAAGATATATGGTTATGCTTTCTATCCAGCATTTAGGCCATCGCAAAATAATAATAGCGTTGGTGGAGCAGCCGTGTTCGTTAGGACAACTTCGCCATTTTCCGCAAAGGGTCATAGAGACACGCAGCATACAAATGTCAACAGTAAAAGTAGCTACAGGACTGGGTGACGTGCAGTTCGGCGCCATTTACTGTCCTCCCAGTGTTAGTATCGACGAAAGACAATTTACTGACACAATACGCTCTTGCGGCCAAAGGTATATGATTGGTGGCGACTGGAACGCCCGACATTGGCTTTGGGGCGACACCTACAATTCACCCCGTGGGCGTGAGCTAGCGGAAGCCATCTCTATCACTGGAGCTAAGATACTTGCAACTGGTTCGCCAACCAGGTATCCTTATGTACCCAGTCATACGCCTTCCTGCATTGACTTTGCGGTGCATCATGGTATACCAGATTCCCTAACAAGTATAACACAAAGTTGGGATCTGGACTCCGATCACTTGCCTTTGATCATCAGCATCGTGTCAGATAGTACCCATGTGAATCCAAGTCCACGATTAGTCACCAAGCACACTGACCCGCTCGCTTTTAGTCAACAACTGGAGAGCATGATTCCGTTGAATATCACGCTAAATTCTGGTGAAGAAATTGAAATGGCGGTTGATCACCTTACACAAAGTATTCACAGGGCTGCGACTGCATCTACGCCTTCTGTTCCTCGGACAGGCACCCCCTATGGAATATCCCTAACAAGAGAGGCTAGAGAGCTCCTGACACAGAAAAGGAGTCTCAGAAGGCGAGCAATCCGATCTCAAGATCCCTGGGACCGCATCTTATGGAACCGTGCTGCAAAACAACTACGAAATGTAGTAAGAGACCTTCGAAGTATCTTTTTTGAGCAGAAGCTGGCTTCTATGAACTATACGGTGGATGCTGGGTATTCACTCTGGAAGTCCACCAAATCCCTCAAAAGACAACCGTTCAGACAGGTACCCATTAGATGCCCGGGAGGTGAACTTGCTAAAAACGAGGAGGAACAGGCCAATTCCTTTGCAAATCATTTGGAGACTAGGTTCACCCATTACCAATTCTCTACAATGGAGCAGAATCGAGAGACGCTTGACAGCCTAGAGATACCCCTACAAATGTCGCTACCAATTAAACCAATCAGGGTTGAGGAAAATCAATGCCAATAAAGAAGACTCCTGGAATCGACAATGTCTGTAATGCCACGTTAAAAGCGCTACCTCTCCGAGCCATCCTATACATGGCGAAAATATTTAATGCTATATTTAGGGTGCAGTCCTTCCCAAAGCAGTGGAAAATGGCAGCAATTCTCATGATACATAAGCCTGGGAAACCTGAAGAGGATCCGGAATCGTATCGGCCCATAAGTCTGCTGTCTTCGCTATCCAAGATATGGGAAAGGCTGATTGCCAACAGACTAGGTGACTTTATTAAGGAGCGCCGTATCCTCCCAGATCACCAGTTTGGATTTCGACAGGGACACAGCACTGTGGAGCAGGTTCACAGACTGGTTAAGCACATTATTCAGGCGTTTGACGACTTGGAATACTGCAATGCTGTATTTATTGACATGCAGCAAGCATTTGACAGAGTCTGGCATATCGGCCTACTCTGCAAAATAAAAAAGCTGCTTCCAGCACCATACTATGGAGTCCTGAAATCTTACCTGGAAGATAGGAAGTTCATGGTCAGGGTCAGAAGCACCTACTCAACCCCTTGCTACATGAGAGCTGGAGTTCCGCAAGGCAGCGTCCTCGGCCCGCTGCTCTACTCAATATTTACCGCGGATTTGCCTTGCCGAAATATGCACCATATGGAAGCTCCCAGGAAGGCCCTACTCGCCACTTACGCTGACGATATCGCATTGTTATACAGCTCCAGTTCTTGCACTGAGGCAGCACGTGGCCTCCAAAAGTATCTCAATACTTTGGCTGCATGGTGCAAAAGATGGAACTTAAAGGTGAATCCACATAAGACCATCAATCCTTGTTTCACCTTGAAGACTCTCATTAGGCGCACACCACCCATACAATTTGATGGCGAAACCCTAGAACAACCTCTGCAGGCTAAATACCTCGGGATCACCCTTGACAAACGGTTGACCTTTGGCCCACACTTAAAAGCTGCGGCACGGAGATGCGGTCAGAGAATGCAACAACTGCGATGGTTGATCAACAGAAGAAGCACCATGACACTTAGAGCCAAAAGGGCAGTATACGCCCACTGTATAGCCCCGATCTGGCTAAATGGAGTGAAGATCTGGGGTATTGCTGCAAAATCTAACTATAAACGCATTGAGGTCTTGCAAAATCGTGCAATGCGTGCCATCACCAACTGCCCATACTATGTACGCAGCTCAACCCTTCATCGGGACCTGAATCTGCATACAGTGGAAGAGCAGATCTCAAGGCACACAAGCAGATACAGTGATAGGCTTAAAAGACACCACAGCATGCTAGCAAGACGCCTACTCCCTGCCAGACCTCTAAGAAGGCTTAAAAGAAAGGGCTTTGCCAAAACAATTGGACAGCTTTAAAGACCCCCTCGATGTTTGAGACTCTGTTGTTAGTCCTCCCACGATAAGTGAGAAGTTTGGTTATATTATTTATATGTTTAATTGCAATGTTATGGTACTAGTACTGCATGTACGGATTCGTCGCTTTATAATAATAAACATTAAAAAAAAAAAAACGAAAGTGCTTCTCCTTCGAAGAAAAAATTCGAATTATTCGGCGCTTGGAAGCCGGTGAGCCTATGGAAAACACATGTTATTAAATTAAGTTTATTACATTTTTTGATTAAAAAATTTTTTTTTGTTTGACTAAGAGATACATTTTTTTTTTTGGTAAAACATACGAATATGGCAATTATAAAATAAACAAAAAAATTTGTTTTTTCCACCTTTCTGATAGTGCGTCTTCCGGGTATAACGACTTAAAATCGTCGGTCCCTTGAAAGTCGCTATAACTGGATTCTACTGTAATTGTTTTTTGTACGCGCAATAGCTCATTTTTTGTTGTAATTTAGAATAGATAGAGTCGAGTTTCCCGACAATCAGATACCCGTTACTCAGCTAGTGGAAGTGCGAACGAGAAATCTCCTCATTTTCTCGAATATCTGTTTGCATTTTTTTTTTTACATGAAAGGACTTTTAAAATATTCTACAAATGTCTGAAAGTTTGATCTTTTTGCATACGGGCATATTCATATGTAGTTACTCCTTCATTCGGAAAGATGATCTCGTGAACCTGGCCACCAAAAATGTCCGTCACAAGGAACTTTCACCGTGGTGAGTTGGAGCATAAAAGATGTCACAGCTGAAATACACAGAATCATAAAGGAGGACTGGGTGTATGCAGAATTTGCTGTAAACAAAAAGCGGGGCCACTGCGAACTCTTTCAGGAACTATAAAAAAACCATGATTTAAAAATCCCAATTGGAAACTACAGATATCAACATTATGAACAGACCACTCAGAGTGGTGGACCACCATTGTAGAAAAATTAAGGAAGTGGGCATTAATTATTTGGAATAGACCAAGTTGTTTGTTGACATCTCTCTGTTGTAGGTCATCCAGTTCAGTTTTTTAGTGATTCTAGTCTTTTATTCCACCAAGAAGAATTGTGGTACGATCATGCAGGTTTGGTTTGATGATTCGAGGTCCATCGATGAAAATTGGTTGTTAGGAAGGATGTACGATGAGACAGTTTAAACGTGTATTTAAATGGAAACGTGTTAAATATAAAAAAATAGCTCAACTCTTGAAACCCCAAAGGTTGAGACCCTCAATTTAGTTTGCTCGTAAATAGTTTCCCTTTTGTGATGATACATACATTTATTTCGGCGTAGCAAACTCCTTTAATTTGTTATAAAATGTAAAATGATTTCAGACAGCTGACAAACGGCAAGGCGCTAATGACGCGGATCCCAGGAGGAAAGCAGTTCTGTACCTTAATGGGCAGGCAACATAAAAGACCACTTTATGTTAATTAGCAGATTACTTGCGATTCGAGTGGTTGGTTGGGAGTTTTTGGGTGGTGATGAGCGACGGATTGGCTTGGCTTTGCGCTGTTGCCCTTGATTGCCACTGGCCACTTATCGCATCCAGCGAGATGTATTTACCTGCTAAATGGCTTGCGGACGTTTTAAATACGATTGAGATAGGTTCGGAGAGGGGTTTACCAATTGCTACGGGACTACAACGCCTAGAAGCCGCACACACTTTTGAAAATTTTTTAAAAATTTTATAATTTTTTCGCCTTTTTTTCTTTTTCTTTTTATTATTCATTATTTTTTGTTCTCACTCCCACTAGCTGAGTGACGGGTATCTGATAGTCGGGGCTCGACTTTCGTTTTTTTTTTTTATGTCAATTTGATGATCCTGAGAATGACATAGGCAAAAAGAAGGGAAAAACTTCCGTAAGGTTTTCATGTACTATCACTTTTAGTAGATAAGGTTAACTTTTGCAAACGAAGTATTTAAGTAGGACAGATCAATTCGTGTTCGTTTGAACAACGCTGCTGACGCCAATTAATTAATTAACAGTTTTAGTTTATGCTCTTATTGTCTTTTATTTATTTAAGAGAAATAGAGCTCAAATACGTAAAATTGCAGACAAATGTGTCGGAGTAAGCGGATATTAGAGAACTTGGTAACATTCATGGTAAAAGACCCAAATCCGTGCGCCCATCTACCGTGAAAAACTCAGAATTAAATTCTTTGCAGTGAATGAAAACATTAGCGCACCTCAAATACGATTAAATTTTAATCTGTTAGTATCCACCCGACAAAATTAAACAAATTCTAGATATCTACAAAATTCTGAGAATGTTTGTTGAAAAAAAAGCATAAACCTTATTTACTGCCAAGAGCCCTCAGCCAGATTGCAGTTTTGCCAACAAATATAAATTTTTGGTCGAGGAATGGAAAAAGATCAATTTTAGTAAGCAAAATAAGTGCTATATAAACCCTATACGGTATATATTTATATTCTTGATCAGAATTACTAGCCGAGTCGCATTGCCTAGCCCACTTCAACGCACTTTTGAAAAATGTGATTTTTTTCACTTTTTTATATATCTTTTTTTATATATCTAACGCCCACAAACCGCACAAAACTCCCACGCCCACCATTTTAAAAAAAGTTTTGGGTTTTCATTTTATTATTTTTTCCCCAATTTCTACCGATATTCCAGAAAATGTTAAAATTTCTCGTTTGCGCTTCTACTAACTGATAGTAACGGGTAACTCGACTATATCATTATATCTTGTTCTTCAATTGAAAGCTGTGTAGCCCTTGTTATTTCCTTACTAAAAGTAAAAGTTTTCGTAAAATGCATGTTTTAAGTTATTAAGCAACAAAAATAGCACCTGTCCCCAATTCAGAACCAGAACCATTTTAAGTGATTAAATTTGTAAGAGCGTATCCAAACAAATGGCAAAGAACAAATTTTACACGCTGTATTTTGTTATTTGAATAAAAAATCACACTTTGTCACAAAAGACGATACTAAAACTTTTGTATGTTGGAGTGCTCCAGTTCTTACCTCGTTAAGTCGTGTTTTTGTTTGCTATTAATTTTCTTTTAAAACATTTTTTATGGTGTTTGGTGTGTTTAAAAAAGTGTTTGTAGGAGTATATAGGTTCTGCTGTGGTTTGTGTATTATTTAGTATGTGGGACTTTCAATTATTTATTTTTTGCCAAGGTGGAAGAGGGAAAGCTGTGTGGCTGTATGGCTGTAAGCTGTAAATGAATCAACTGTTTCGGTTTTTCCCAAAATTGATAGTCAAAGAGCATTTATATCAATACGAGACAAATTTTCTATATTGCAAATGCACGCTGTCTTGCTGGTCAAAGACGAGAAGTTGAGACATGTAAAACCAAGGAACACTTCAATCATTTTTGATCTATTTGTTTGCAATGCTGTGCAAAATGATTAAATCTAAAACATCTGTAACAGTGACTAAATTAAACGAATTGGAAACAGGAAGTTATTATTGAAGGCATTTCATTGTTTTAAATATTTTAATTTTACTGGATGGGTCACCGTCTAAATTGGTGATGATGTTCGCTATCCGTACCATCACAGCGTATTTCAGATTCACCTGAGCCCACGCTCATGGTGTTTCGTCACTACGTGCATATATCAACCAACACCTTTAAAAAAAGTAATTCTTTGAGTTGAGCATTGAATAGTTTGTATTTCGGAAATGCGATTAACAATATCATTCATAAACTACAATTCTTGACCATATTTACTTATAATTTTAGAACTTGCTATATACACTCGAGAACAGCTGTTCAAGCGCGATGTGTGCACGCTTTTAACATGTTTTAAAACTTAAAAATATTTGAGAACTAGGCGGTAACTTAGTGCAACGAGAGAAACATATCTGCCTATAGCCGGTGGTGGATTTATTTTATTCTCTTCATTCAATTGTTCTTAATTGAGTAGTTTGTGGTCCAATCTACTTGTGTTTACTTCAGCAAGTAGTCCATCTCTGACTTTGTGGTAGACATGTACTGATCCAGCTCCATGTCTAGATCCTCGCGTTTCACCTCGGGGCGCTGTGATTTGCCTATTAAAGAGAGACATTATTATAATCAGGAGTAGGAAGTAGGGACGAAAACATGCAAATTTTGAGTTTCAAGTGCCCAATCCCAGATCCAGTCCGGTTTGTCTCCTGGCCACTTGTCTCGCTTTTACCTGTAGGCTTACGACTACGACTGCGTCCCCGGCGAGCCTGTTGCTGGGGGCCCTTTTTGCCACCATTTGTCGCCTTGACCTTGGCGTTTTTGTCGTTTTTACCATTTCTGTTGTTGCCCTTGGCAGCGCCTGCACTGCGTCCACGTCGCTGACGGGAATTAGCCCGGCCCTGAGCAGTAGCGGTGATGGCAGCAGCAGCGACGACGGCAGCACGATTGCGCGAACGTGAGCGACGAGCAGAAGCAGAATTTTTACCTGCCCCACCACTAGAAGCAGCGTTTCTAACTGCAGATCTGTAATAATAATATATAATGAGTATTTTTCAAATTATAATTTTTTTATACTAATTTATGCACTTTATCTATGCAAAAAAATTATTATATTTACTAGGAACAAAAAAATTATGCCGTTGGGTTTTAAGCATTGTTCAGTTAAATTTTTACATATTATAAGGCGCACATTTCCCATATAATAGCACACTAAACATACCTTCGACGTGGTCGTCCTTGACGGCTGGCAAGTGAGGAGGAAACTCCCTTCATTTGGGAAATCTGAGAACTACGACGCTTCTCAACCCGTCCGCCTGCAACACCTCGAAGTTGGCTTGGTGTCCGGCGCTGTCGTGGGTTCTTGGCTTGGTTGTTTCCCTGGCCGGTTCGCACTCCAAGGCGATGCTTGACTGAAAGCCGCTGTTTTACTGGAACACGGCCCTGGGCGGAGCGATCGCGATTGCGGCTCTGGGAACGCCCAATGCTGCGTCCACGGCTTTGGGAACGTGCTCTGTCCACGCGCTCTGGTTGCGGGTGACGCGAACGGGATCGAGAGCGGGAACGTCCTACGAGACCTCCTCCTCGTGTGGTTTGCTGCTGCTGTCGCTGACGACGCTCAACGCGCTCGGCGGCACCGCCCACAGAAGGGCGGCGCTGTCCTAGCCGCTGCCGAAGTCCACCTCCGTTGGTGGCGGGGACAATGCGAATGCTGCTGCCGCTGCGGCGACCGCGAGCGGCGTTGCCGCTGGCCACTAGATCGGCACGCATCCTGAGCGATTAACGAAGAAGTACAGAGATGTTGCAGTGGATTGATAGTTGAGCGCTAGTATAGGCGAGATGCTTACGTTGCTACCCGGGTCACGTTGTTGGACCGTATGGGTTTCCCATTGGGCGCCAGTCGCAGCGACTTGACGCCGACGACGCGTGCTCCGCGTCCGCTGACGCCGGTGGTCCGTAAGCTTCTCTGTAAGGAGGCATAAGGTTGTGTGGAAGTTTTGGTGTCAGTACGCTGCTTCAGTGTTGGAGTTCAAGATCAAGGGATAGAGAAAGAGTCTGAGAATCTGTAGGGCTTTTGGGTACCACGCAGAAGGCGCACTTTTCTCGACAGCATAGTCCGACTCCTCTCTTCCGGGTAATCCAAGCCACTGCTGCCAGACATAAACCTGTCCAACGGATCAGGTCGGTTTCCGCTGTCTGATTGCAATATTCAGTTTTTGAAAACACGTACGCGCTTCAGTTTAAGGGCCGTCTGAACGGTGTGGCGCCGCTTGAATTCCTGCAACAGCCGAGAGTTGGCCGCGGAGACTCCTGGACTCCCGGCACCGCTGCCTACGATGCGCCGGCTCCTGCTCCTGGAGCGGCTGCGACCGCGTCCCTGTGGCGGCAACTTTGACTGCATTTGCGTGAAACGCTCGTTTAAGGAAATTCCAGTGTTCATGATTGCTCCAACTTTGCTTTTATAAATTGATCCTTAAAATTTCTGCTTTTGCTTTGTTCTGCTTTACTCTTGGACGGTCGAGTGGGTGTTTTTGCACTGAAGTCCGGGTTGCAACTGCAATTGTAAGGAAAAATGCAATGAGTTTTGTAGGCAGTCAGGTACACAAGGACGAAATGCTGCCCTACGGACAGGTAGTGCCAGCTGGCACCAATAAACGCTAAGCTCAAGCAGTTGTTTAAAATCCATCAATAAATCTGCAGCTGTTCACATCAGCTTGCAGGCGTATGAGGAAAATCCAGCCGTTGGCCCTATCCTTCTAGCACCCCCTAAATACAGCTGTGGTCATAGTTACAGCACTAACAAGGCACTAACACTGAATACTGAATATTTAAAAATTTATCATTTTAGAACATTGATCCATTTCACGTGCATACAAGGACTAATGGTTAGATGTGTAAAAAAGAGATGGCTTTAGTCGACTGTCGCGACTATAAGATACCCAGTAATCAGCCAATAGTGTAAGATGAAGGGAAGGAAAACCCTCATATTCGAACAACATTTTGTAGAAACTGACGGCTAATGTAAGCATATGTATTAACGTCAGAAAGTCTTCAGTGTTAAAGGCGACTGTGGGTGTTTTATAACAGTTTCAGTTCCAAAAATCTCGACGGTCGAGGCAGGTCAACTGGCCGGTGGTCCTGATAAAGGATATTTACGCTTTATTCTACCTGTTGCATACCTTTCAACGGTACACATGTAGAACACTTATTACTTTCGAGTATAATTAGAAGGCAAATAAAGTTTTGGGTAATTGTCTATATAAAATAAAAAACAAGTTCAGTGCGATTTATCCTGAATTTAGGGAAACAAATTAGTTAGGCAAACCAAACGATTAAGTGAAATGTCGATTAATGTGAATGACTTATATTCCTAATTACTGTGAAACAGTACAGCAGCCTATCAAGAAACCACCTTTGGTTCTATTTGTACGGCAGATGTGCTGTATTGATACACAAGTATATATGTGTGTACATCTATACATCTGTGTATATACATTTTAGGGTTGTATTCAAGCAGAGCACACTGTAATCTAATAATAGTTTCTTTGCCAGCATGAAATTTTCGTGATTATTAAATCGTCAAAAACTGGGCCGTAGTTGCATATATAATGTTTCATGTGCACTTAAATTACGTAAACAACGAAAATTGTGTTAATACTTACATTTCTGACGACTTTTGCGTCGCTGCTTCGCTTGTACCTTCGCTTGGCCTAAAAATAGGTGCGGGAAATATTTAAGTTTTTTCCCCCGACGGAAATTGGTTTCACTCGTTATTGGCTCCTTTATTAAGCTGGTTCACCCTTAACTATCCTTTTTTCAGTGGTTGGTTCCGATTAGATATGTATTTCAAAACGAAATTAAATTTTTTCCTCGCTGACAAAGAAATCAGGCATTGAGTGATTGTTCTCCACTGCGTTGCCGTAGGTTTCTAAAAATACCGAATGCGCATCGGATTAGGGGTAGTAAAATAATTCATTTTTTCCGCTTACGGATCAAATAGGCAGTTTCCACAGATCTGCATCACTAATACTAATAATAAATTACAATTAAAAATTATCAAATATTTCGTCTGAATTGAACAATTTTTTTAATTCATGTAATTCATATATAAGAAAAAGACATTACCATTCGCTCGGTATGGAGGTACTAAGTTCCGCACCATAAAGTAGTCGTTGAAATTCGTTAGTACTCAGATTTGCTTAACTTAGTCTGGTACTAGAGATTTTCTTTTTAATGAGTAAAATATTATTGGTTGCCACTTTTAAAGAATTCTAATCTTCAACAACTGGAAAATTTTTGAGAATACCCTTAGCACACACCAAATAGAATATACTGAAAATCAGTATTTTTCGAAGAAAATTCGCAATCTGTTGAGCCTGCAGCCCTAGCGGTCGCAGAAGTAGGGTTGTCGCCGGTCATCAACAATCCAAATGAACTCCTACGGTTTGTAGACAATATTAAAAACTGTATTTAACTGCCTTCCCACAAGAAATCACCAACACAAAGGGAGCGACAACCCAACGCCTGCGCCCAGAAAACTGGCCGTCTGTTTTTCCGAGTTTTCTTTTAACCCAGAACTTGCGTTTTCTCTGTGCAGTCCCTGCCGCGCCATACAATTTATTTCATTAGCAGCGCATATTATTTTTACTTTACTTGTGTGTTTTGTTTACCGCGACCTTTCGTTTCCAATTTGATGGTGCACCAGAACACACAGCTCAGAACATCCACATAGCACACTGAAAGAAACCAAGAACCCAACCCGACACCGAAACTGAATAGACGCAAGTATCGACCCAACGAGACCCTTTCCAAAACCAAAGCTCAGTTCAAAATGGCCAAAATGTACGGAAAGGGTAAGAGTAAGTACACGCCAATCCACACTCACTTTCGCATTGTAACCTAACACCTACTGACACCACTTGGCATGCCGAATCCTCAGAGATCTACCGAAAGTGGTGCTGATTCCACCGGGACTAATGCTTTCCCAATCTATTCCGTAGCTGCTATCGAGTCAGAGGAGCTGCAGAAGCGACGCTGGCAAATCGAGCTGGAGTTTGTGCAGTGCCTGTCCAATCCCAACTATCTGAACTGTAAGAATAATATTAGTTCGATCGGCATATCACTAATTCACCATCGCCTGCAAAAGTATCATCTAGAACCTCCAAGAACAAATCTTGGCCATGTCAATTTCCTTTTTGAAATCGAATTTTTGATCATAGTTTTATAATTTGGAGTACACCAGTTTTTCTACAATATGCATATAGTTTAGTATAAACCAGTTTTTTAACAATATAAAATTTATATTCAAATTCGGACAACTAATCGATAAAAACAATTGATACCCCTTCTGGCAGTCCTTGCACAGCGTGGATTTTTCAAAGACCAGTCGTTCATCAACTACCTTAAGTATCTGCAGTACTGGAAGGAGCCGGACTATGCGAAATACCTCATGTACCCAATGTGCCTCTACTTCCTCGATCTGCTGCAGTACGAGCACTTCCGCCGGGAGATCGTCAATTCGCAGTGTTGCAAGTTCATAGACGACCAGGCCATTCTGCAGTGGCAGCACTACACTCGCAAGCGCATCAAACTTATCGAAAACGTGACGGCCGCCCAGCAGCAACAACAGCAGCTGCAGCAGCAACAGCAGCAGACGAACGGCGTGGAGGCATCCCCGGGAGGCGAATCAGCAGCACCTACACCCAACGTGAACGGGACAGCTTCCACGACGGATGGGCAACAGACGTCTTCTGCACTACAGCCTGTTCAGGCACAGCCGGGAAATCCCCAGCAGCAGCAAATCAATGGCCTGGCAACGGGGACCAACATAAAAATAGAGTTAAACTAGCGCTGGCAACTAAAAGTTTACCAATAAAATAGTCTAAGAACCTGGAACAAGAACCATTGCATTCCATTTACTGTCTTCATTCCGGATGAGAAACAGCAGCAGTTGTACCCCTGCATTGCATAAATATAAAAGTTTTAATTTGTACCTATTTAAGCAGAACTAAAATTCTAAAATAATTTAGTTTTACTTTGTTTTTTAGAAAATCTTGAAAACATCATTGTATTGGATCGGTTAAAGTGTCGCCTCCTTTTGTTGTTGGTTTTGGTTGCAGACTTGAAACAAATTGCATTAATCCATATGTTGGTGAATTCACAGACCCACAAGATACGGCTTCTGAACAGCAGGAGGAAACCGTTGCGCTGAAAGGCCACTTCTACGGTGTCTATTTGCTATGCAGTCAGAGCCTGGATCCTCGTTTCCGAGGAAAGTGCTACGTGGGATTCACCGTGAACCCGAAACGGCGGATACGCCAACACAATCTTGGTTGTGACTTCGGCGGCGCCAGGAAAACCAGCCGCAGAGGGCCCTGGCTGATGGTAATGATCGTGCACGGATTTCCCAATAATACAGTGGCCCTACAGTTTGAATGGGCCTGGCAACAGCCCTCGCTTTCCACCAGGCTTAAAATGTACCCTGAATTAAAACGAAAGCTGCCCAGGGAGACGTTCTTTGACTACAACTTTAGGATCCTCAGTCATATGCTGGGAGTTGGCCCTTGGAATAGATTACCACTCTCCGTTCGCTGGCTAGAAACGGATTACGAAAGACCATTCAACATGCCACTTCCTAACCACATGGATATTGTGAGTGGGAAGGTTTCCATTAGCGCCTCGCAACGTAAGAGAACTGATGATGCAGAAGTTCCTCCACCTGTGGCGTGGGCTTCCGAGTGTCACCTTTGTATGCAGCAAATCGAGCAACCGGAGAGATCCCGCCTAGGATGCACAAATCAAATGTGTCGGCTAACGTGCCATATGATGTGCCTGGCCAATTACCTTCTGGGCGACGAGCCAGGTCACTACATCCCAGTTGGAGGACAGTGTCCGCTCTGTGAGAACCGCCTCAGCTGGGCAGCCCTTCTGCAGCGTAAACGTCTTCTGTTGGGCGTGCCTAAGGAACTGCGGGATTATGATGAGGATCTGATCGAAGATATTGATGTGGACAGTAACATTGAAGATACCCCGTAGGTCTGCGATTAGTTATAGACCGAAATGTGTTTTATTCAGAATGCTATATATTGCATAAGCTAAAACGTTTGTTAAAGTATCTGGGGAAGCACCGATTTAATGCTCTCTTAGAAGTAAACATTTTGACTAAATTCTAAACAAATATTCCCCATTTACAATACTGAGTATCATTTTAAAAATTTCGATATTTTTTCACAGATTGTTTAGACCACTTATCAAGTCACTACTAGTTAGAGGAAAATAAAAATAACCATTTTAGAAATAGAGAAATTTAATTTATATTTATCAGATTTTTATTCTCTATTATTAATTATAAAAAGTATATTAAAATAAATTATTAGGTTTGTTTCTTGATTCGTCAGGTGCCTGTTGCATATACATTCAGTAAATTGATAGAAAATGTATTACATTGATAAAGTCAGAGGTCCAGGTGGGACACTTGTGCCTTAATACTTTTTAAAACGTTTCTGTAGTCTTGTAAAAGTTTAGTCATTTTCCGCTTTTCCTGCAAATAATACTCCATAGACATTTGTACATACTCTTGGCCCTTGAAGTTAAATACAGACACTTCAGAAGTATCAATATGGTCCGGTTCTACTCTAACTCGTTCTGCAATCGGATTTGATTCCGATTTCACAGCTTTCTTTAGAGCAATGGCAATAGATTCCTTCGGGCGCTTAGCCGGTGGAATATCACGGACTATGTCAACTAGAAATAAAGTTAAATAAATACGCATTTGAAGACGCAAGCCGAAGTGTATGTATAGTACTTACGATCTTTCCGAAGAGTTGTGGAAATTGAGGTTGTGTCCACATTGTTGATGCTAAGCTCATCGTCGCTCAGATTTATGTAGTAGCTCTCATGCGACGTGGAAGCTACTTGTTGTGGCTCCTCCTCCGGCTTGGGACTGTTTTCCTTATACGGATACGGCACCGCCTCGCCCACGAGAAGCGTTCGGTTCTTCGAGGAGGATATGAACTTGCGGTCAAAGTGAAGGGAGCACATAAAAAGCTGGCTTTGGGGAATCTTTGGATGCACTTGACCGTTTTCGTGCCAGATTCTCGCCCTTTCCGGTTGCTTGGGAAAGGCAAACAGGGTTCTTCCTTTGGTCAACGCGTTTTCGTGGCCAACATAGTAATATTCGCAATCCTTGTACGCGCAAGACCTCGTCGTCATTTTGAATAGTATAATATTATTATATGAATTAAATAAACAGTACAATTCGAGTACGATGTCTTTGTTATCGATAACATATCGAGGCAAATGGATAGGGATGAAAGGCTCATTTCTCGAACTTATTATTTATTTTATACACGTTTCCACTTATTTGCATTTGCTATATTATTCTTTGGTGTTTTAGTTTTGGACACGTACAACAAATTTCATAAGGTATTTCTTCATTTTCACCTAGGCTCAGTACTCAAGCGAACAGAAACTGGCCCAAAAATAACATACTATGTTCAGCTATATATTTTTTGGCGGCCAAAAATGGACATTGTAAACATGGACATTGGAAATAAAAAAAATTGAAACTAATATAACTATGTATATAGTATGTGCTGTTGCTGTAGAATTAGTTATGAATGATCAAAACATTTTCAGATTTGAGTTAATGTAAACAAAACGCGACTGTCTATCGCTAGAAATACACCAAATTATATATTTCTTGGACGGTATATACATAGTACTGTCCAAAGACTTCGAAAAAATCGCCCACACTTTTTAAAAATTTAAAAGTTTTTTTTTTCATTTTATTTTTTTCCCACCAATTTCTACCGATATTCCAGAAAATGTTTAAATTTCTCGTGCGCACTTCCACTAACTGAGTATTTGATAGTCGGGAAAGTCAACTATAGCATTCACTCTTTTTTTTTGCAAATTTTAATTCTATAGCACATATCCGACACATAGCCGAACTTTATTTTGCATTTTCCTTCTTTCTATATTTGAAAAACGTACTCTTCGATTAAGTATTTAACTCCAAAATCCAATCAATCTGGCAGGTCTGCCGAGAAACGGGAAAAATTCACTCTTTGCGTTCTCTATTTTACGTTGTTTTTGTCTTCGGTCCACGGTGATTATCTGTAGCTATGTTTGTTCGCGCCACGAAGGGAAAAGACACCATGACCATATCGGATCTTGAACTTGACAGCAGCAAGAGCATCGACCTGACAAACAGGAGGAAAGAGAAAGCGGGTTCCGTCGCCTGCGAGGGATTAATCACCACGTACCATGAATACTGCAGGAACACCTCCATACATGGAGTCCAATATCTCGGCGAGTGGGAGCGACCATTCCGCGAGCGAATTTTTTGGCTGTTCGTGTTCCTGATCTCGATCTACGGCTGCTCCACGCTGATTCAAAGTGCCTACACCAAGTGGACCGAAACGGTGAGTGCCTAGTAAATCCTACGTACCATCAGCAGAAGCTTTCTAGCACAATAGAGTTCAAAGTACAGATCCTTCAAACTAACCATGCTGCAATATAGTATCCCCCTCAATGGTCATGTTTTAACGTAAAGTAAATTAAAGAGAATCAAATTTATTTCTGCATAGATTATATTTAATTCTAAATACACAGAAACTACAGCGCTTTCTGCATTACAACGTGCTAATATTAAGTGAATTTTTAAAGCCTGTGATCGTTAGCTTCGCGGAAAAATCGACCCCCGTCTGGAACATCCCGTTCCCGGCGGTCACCGTTTGCTCGGAGACTAAAAGGGTGTTAAAGCAAAAAGGTTTGTTATTCAGGAAGACTCCAGTTGTAAAGACTTTGAAAATAAAAATGTAATCTTTACTTGACAGGAAAGGAGACCACCTATGCTGATCTCTATAGCCAGTTTAGCGAGGATATGCGAGCTTCGCGCGTGTTTAGGCCCGAAAACGTTAGTGCCGTTGAGATGGAGGAGTTCCGCACCCTGCTGCACGTATGCAACACCCAGATCATTGAGGAGGACATTCCTTTGATAGCCGGCGACGACTTGGACTACTTCGATGTTCTGCAGAGGATGCTGCCGCAGTTTGATCGGTATTTCTTTTATTGCCGCTGGCTAAGTCGCTTCGGCGAGTGCGAGACCTTTTTTCGGAAGACTCTTACGGAGGAGGGCATCTGCTACACCTTTAATGGGCTGAGGGCCACAGAGATATACCGAGACGACACCTATCAGTACCAACACAGCGGGGAACGCCTGGAAATGGAAAATATTAGCTCGCAGCACACGCCCTGGACTCTGGAAACGGGTTATGCGCTTGACAGCAATGTGGAGACCTTTCCGGCGCGGGTTTTGAGTGCCGGGGCGCGATCTGGCATTTTCCTGGTCCTTCAAAGCTTTAAGCAGGAGGTGGACTACGCCTGCCGAGGACCTGTGCAGGGATTTAAGGTGGGAAAAGATGAAACCGTAGCTAGGTTGCATTTTATTAATTAAAGGTGAACACAAATGTAATAGTTGCTTAAATATGTGCCCTGCTCAATGTACAGGTACTGCTCCATGCCCCCGATGACGTTCCGCAGGTTTCCAAACAGTTTGTGCGCATTCCTATGGGCAAGGAGGTGCTGATCGCAGTGAAGCCCAACATGATCACCATGTCGTCGGGCATAGCAGAGTACCATCCCATTCGGAGGCAGTGCTTCCTCAGCCACGAACGGTCGTTGCGCTTTTTTAAGGTGTACACCGAATCGAATTGCCAACTGGAGTGCTTGGCCAACTTCACGCTGACCAAGTGCGGATGTGTTAAGTTCTCGATGCCAAGGACCATGGACATGCCCGTATGCGGAGAGGACAAGATTACCTGCTACGATAGGGCGGAAAGGGAGTTGTTAGTCAGGGAATTCAAAAGGGTAAGAGCGCTGAACGCCGCCCGAGAGAATTCGCGGGGCGTGGAATCCGCCTGTAATTGCATGCCGGCATGCACATCCCTCGTCTACAATACGGAGATTTCCCAGGCCAACTTCGATTTGGAAGAAATGCTAGTGGCTGACGGAGACACTGAGTTCCTGAAGGAGTATCCCGGTTCCCAGATGTCTCGTTTGTCCATTTACTTCAAGCAGAGTCAGTTCATCACTTCGAAACGGTCGGAGCTTTACGGAATGACCGAGTTTCTGGCGAATTGTGGTGGCATTTTCGGTTTGTTTATGGGGTTCTCTATCTTAAGTCTGGTGGAGATGATCTACCACTTCACGTTGCGGCTCTTTACCAATCTGAAGCGTCTGGTTAAAGGATAACCCCTTACCACTAAATTTTAAATGCAAATAATTAGTATTGTACAGAACAATTGTTATTTGAACTAGTTATTTTCAATCGAAAAATCCGGTAGTTTATTATTTTAGGTTTACATATTTATACTAATGTAATGTGTACAAATCTAGCAAAAATTGGTTCTATATATACAATATACAAATATAAAACGTAGCTGACATAAGAAAAAGAACGAAATCAGTCATAAGAACGATGATCAGACAAGAACGATGTCATAATATTGGTTGAAATTTGGTTCAACTACTAGATAACTCCGACTTGGTTGACTTGGATCAACAATCCCAATCTATTCCTAGTCTTCCGTAAGGACAGACATGATCTGATTGATTTGATCTCTTCAAAAGACGGCGATTTTGGATATTGGTTTTGTAGATTCAGCCGAGAATCTGTATTTATATTTGCTAGTCGATTTTGCTTAACCACATTACGAATGCGTTCAATGTGTTGATCAAGTTACTTGTTTTAATTTAAGTTTAGTTTAGTTTGTTAACAGTTCAATTTATCTAGCGGAATTTACTATTTCAACATTGAGTTTCTTAATAACCTACCGTGTTTGAACATTAGATGGGGGTCCATACTTTCGAATGCTTGTCTTGAAACGAATTATAATTATCTTTTAGTAACTCCAAGGTGCGATGTTCTAATAAGCTTCCGTAGTACACATAATGATCGAATGAAACTAAAGACAACATTACTGGAGTAATTCCTCAAAACACGGCATTGATAAAGTTGCCTTCTTTCGTGGAATGATTTTAGGATTCTTTTTTCCTTATACTTAAATATAACTTATCATGTCGAGATCCGTAACCCCCGGGAAGCAACTTCTGGACTTTCTCAAGTTAGTTCTCTTGGCCCTTTGGTTTTTACCATTTTCATAAATGATATTGTTCTTATATACGATTTGCTAAACGAGCTCAAAAGCTATATACGGCTGATTTTCGACAAAACCGGTAACTGGTGCACTCGGGAAAATCTGCCAATAAATTTGGAGATGTACATGTATGCCTTGTTGTTCGTTATGTGAAATCCTTCTTTCTACCTTGCAACTAGTCAACCTCTTTCCTTGTTGGATGAGATTTTGGATCTTGAAATCCTCTTTGATACAATTTCCACTTGACACTTTATTCTGCCGTGGGCGTATGCAATGAAAAAAACCATTCAGTTTAAGGATCCGTCCGTACTCCTGTTTATTTGTGTACAGTGCATTTGCCCGTTCTAGAATGAAATACGCTTCGATTATTTAAAGTCCCATTGCCACATTAATAGCAGCCAGCGGATCCCCACCCGTCACCAGTGTTTTTTAACGAATCGTCATAAAAAACGAATTTAAGTAATATTTTTAATTGTTTATTTTGACTGAAATAAGAGTACAAAACTGTGAAAGAAACAGTTAGAAATTAGGATACTAAATGTGTAGGTAAATCCCGTTCGCTTCTGCTTGTCAATTACTGCGAAAAATAAAACTCAAAATTTTAACACACTTTATTAATACAAAGAATTTTATACTGACATATTAATAACAAAAAAGAAGCTATTGTTTAAATAAATAAATTCAAAAATTTTCACATCATTGAACTGCCGTCGTTTGAACGTGTTTTTGATAGTGTTTATTGAGAAAAAAAATGTTTCCGTGCGTATTAACGTCGAGAATCCAAGAACTATAAAAGTTGAGATTAAGCATGCAGATTCCAGAGACACAGACGCAGCGCAAAATTGTTGAACCATGTTGTCACGCCCACAAGCCGCTAAAATCTGCCACCCTCACACTTTTGCAAAAAGTTGTTATATATTTTCAGTTCGATTTTGGTCTTTTTATCGATTTTCCAAAAAACTGTTGGCCACGCCAACTCTAACGCCCACAAGCCCCCCAAACAACCACACCCACAGTTTTGAAAAAAGTGTTAAAATAGTTTCCTTTTCCAATTGTCTTTCAAATATCTAGAGGTATGCCAAACACCTTTTTGCCACGCCAACAAACCGCCCAATACTGCCAAGCCAATTTGAAGAAATGTGTTGAAAATGTTTAATTTTATTATTGTTTATATTTCTATCAATATGTTAAAAAAAATAGTTGGGCACGCCTACTGAAACGCCACAAGTGCCCATAGCCCCGACGGCCACACTTTTAAAATTTTTTTTATTTATTTTAATTTTATTATTTTTTGCAAATTTTTATCGATATGCCAGAAAAGTTGTTAAGCTTTCTTGTTCGTACTCCCACTAGCTGAGTAAGGGGTATCTGATAGTCGAGGAACTCGCTAGTGATGCCCGATAGCTGGCGCGTTTGTAAAATCGGAACGCTAAACGGCATCACTAGTGAGGGCGGTCGCTTGCGCGCCAAAAGCAGTCGCTTGTTATCGATAACGGGGGAACAGTGTTGCCTTGGCGCTTTAGCGTGACTGTGTCTTGAAAATTCCGTAAATAACAGAATAAAATAAAGTTGGATTTGTCGCACAGCAGATGATTCACCACCCACCAGAGACCAGGCAATCTACGGTACAACAACCTCGAAGAGCGACCAAGAGTGCAGTGCGTGAATTTGTGACCCTTGGCAACCCAGCCCGTTGTTCCGTTCTGCTCTTTCTTAGGCGGCCGCCGTCGCGTGAAGAGTGAAGTGAAAATCGTGGTTTCCACGAGGTCTCGTATTTCGATTCATTTGAACAGACAGGATAAGATGGCAGCCGATCAGGCCCAGTTCCAGCAGCTCCTGGTGTCCCTCTTGTCCACGGACAACGATGTGCGCCAGCAGGCGGAGGTGAGTCCCAATATTCTCGTTTACGGCGTGGCAGGGGATCTCGAAGAGCTCATTCCCGTCGCCTCGAATTGTCGATGCGCAATTCGCGATTTGTGGGTTGCAGATGAGCATGAAATATACGGCGGACTGGCGGAGCAGCTGCCATCTATAAGATCTTCTCCCGGCACATGCACATTGTACATACGTACGTAGGTGTACGAATCCAACAGCCGAAATTTCAGGCCAATCAGATTCATCGCTCAAAACGTGTTTTCGCCCTACGCTTTGCCCCGACATTCGCATGTGTGCGAGGGAGTGAGCGATGGATGACAGACGGTGCGAAGCAGGCAAACAAAGCAAAATGGAAGCGAATTGTGCAATTTGCATGGCCGCCACATGATTTTTCATTGGAATTCGCTGTAGGGAATTCGAAGCACCGAGTGCCGCCGCAAACGGAAACAAAGAGCAGGTGCGAAATCCATGACACACGCTCCCAGAAATGCAATCTGTCAGTTGATAAGGCTCTCGAATTTCGATGTCTCGCTCAGGCGCCACATGGCACCGCCACGCCCACGCCACACCATACACTAAACCCCACCAATACTGCTGACCTTGGGCAGCATGGTACCGCTCCCACCTAAAGCTGGGTTGCCAAAAATAGCTATTTGGTTCCCATGCCGGCTACATTTATATTTGAAGTATTTAATGCAAATGATTTTATATGTGCGTTTAATATTTTCACCTGAAAGACCGAAATAAATGAGATGCGGCTTCAATTTGAATGTTACAAGTTTTAGACTTTGTTAATTTTGTCAAGGTGGTATTTTATTTGCATATACACAATTATATTTCAGTTACTATTTATACATGGAAATAAAAATGGATATTTTTTGACAAACAGTACATATATTACATACAATACAATACAATACAAATTACAACAACTAATGTTTAATTAATGTTCAATAATAATGTTTAATTTATTAATCTAATTCCTAATTTCTAATTCCAGGACGCATACAACAACCTTGCAAGAGAACTGAAGGTGACGCATCTCCTGAGCAACATCCAAAATGGCCAGCAGTCGGAGGAGGCTCGACAGATGGCTGCCGTGTTGCTGCGGCGCCTGTTTACCACCGAGTTCATGGAGTTCTATAAAGGAGTAGGCCTTTAAAAAGATACCCAGTCAGAACATCTTTCTGATATTACCTTATTCTCAGATTCAACCTGAATCCCAGAACCAATTGCTTCAGCAGATCCTAATGGCCGTGCGGCAGGAGGTGACACCGCAGCTGCGTCGCAAGATTTGCGAGGTAGTTGCCGAGGTGGCTAGGAATCTGATCGACGAAGACTGCAACAACCTGTGGCCCGACATCTTGCAGTTTCTCTTCCAGTGCGCCAACTCGCCTACGCCCCAGCTGCAGGAATCGGCACTGCGGATTTTTTCCAGTGTGCCTTCGATATTTGGAAACCAGGAAGCTCAGTACATTGATCTAATCAAGCAGATGTTGGCCAAGAGCATGGACGCTGGATCCGATCCGGAGGTCCGAGTACAGGCCGTGCGAGCCGTCGGAGCCTTCATCCTCTACCACGACAAGGAAAACGAGACGGCCATCTACAAGCACTTTGCGGACATGCTGCCCCGCATGATCCACATTACTGGAGAGACTATCGAGGCCCAGGATGACCAGAGTCTGCTGAAGCTCCTAATTGAGATGACCGAGAACTGCCCGAAGTTCCTGCGTCCCCAGCTGGAGTTCATTTTTGAGGTCTGCATGAAGGTTTTCAGCTCACAGGACTTTGAGGACAGCTGGCGTCACCTGGTCCTTGAGGTTATGGTGTCGCTGGCCGAGAACGCCCCGGCTATGGTACGCAAGCGAGCGGACAAGTACATCGTGGCTCTGATCCCGCTGGTTCTGCATATGATGACGGATTTGGATGAGGACGAAAATTGGTCCACCGCCGATGTGGTCGATGATGACGATCACAGCGACAACAACGTGATCGCCGAGTCTTCGCTGGATCGTCTCGCCTGTGGTTTGGGAGGAAAGGTTGTGCTACCGCACGTAATGAACGCTCTACCGGCTATGTTGGGTCATGCCGATTGGAAACATCGCTTCGCAGCCCTCATGGCCATCTCGGCCATAGGTGAGGGTTGTCACAAGCAGATGGAAGCCATCCTCGATGAGGTTATGACCGGAGTCCTGAACTTCCTGAGGGATCCTCATCCTCGCGTTCGTTACGCCGCTTGCAACGCCATTGGCCAAATGTCCACCGACTTTGCACCGATTTTCGAGAAGAAGTTCCACAGCCAGGTGAGTCTTGATTCAATAAGGCCAAATATCCTTTCAAACTAAGATTTTCGTGTTTAAATTTTTGTGGAAATGGTAAAGAAGCAGTTTTTTTTTACTTTCGTATTGGCTTTAACTGAAATTAATGGTTTTCAAAAAGTTACATCTAAACAACTTTAGATTTTGATGATCTACTCCCAATATTTTTGTATTATTTGAATGCTTAACAATTTTCTCTTGTTTCTCCAGGTGATTCCCGGTCTCTTGTCTCTCTTGGATGACGTTGAAAATCCCCGAGTGCAAGCACACGCTGGTGCCGCTCTGGTGAACTTCAGCGAGGACTGCCCGAAGAATATATTGACACGCTATCTGGACGGGATCATGGCCAAGTTGGAGACTATTCTGAACTCGAAGTTCAAGGAGCTGGTGGAGAAAGGAAACAAGCTGGTTTTGGAGCAGGTAGTGACCACAATTGCATCGGTTGCAGATACCTGCGAAGCAGAATTTGTGGCCTACTACGATCGCCTTATGCCATGCCTGAAGTTCATCATCCAGAATGCAAACTCCGATGATCTTCGCATGCTTCGCGGCAAGACCATTGAGTGCGTGAGCTTGATAGGATTGGCGGTGGGCCGGGAGAAGTTCATTGGCGATGCCGGAGAGATCATGGATATGCTGCTGGTTAATCACACCGAAGGAGGTGAGCTAGCTGATGATGATCCGCAGACCTCATATCTGATCACTGCCTGGGCACGTATGTGCAAAATCCTTGGCAAGCAATTTGAGCAATATCTGCCCGTCGTTATGGGACCCGTGATGCGAACGGCCACCATGAAGCCTGAAGTGGCGATGATGGACAACGACGAGGTGGAGGACATCGAGGGTGATGTGGACTGGTCCTTCATAAATCTTGGCGAGCAGCAGAACTTCGCCATCCGCACTGCTGGCATGGACGACAAGGCTTCGGCTTGTGAGATGCTGGTTTGTTATGCTAGGGAGCTAAAGGAAGGATTTGCCGAATACGCTGAGGACGTGGTGCGTCAAATGCTGCCCATGCTTAAGTTTTACTTCCACGACGGTGTCCGCACAGCTGCTGCTGAGTCCCTGCCTTACCTTCTCGACTGCGCAAAGATTAAGGGTCCGCAGTATCTGGAGGGCATGTGGCTGTTCATTTGCCCGGAGCTACTCAAGGTAATCATCACGGAGCCGGAGCCAGAAGTGCAGTCGGAACTACTAAATTCGCTGGCCAAATGCATTGAGACCTTGGGACCTAATTGCCTTAATGAGGATGCAATGAAACAGGTGCTGGAGATTATTACCAAGTATGTGATGGAGCATTTCGAGCGTGCTGATAAGCGTTTGGCGGCTCGAAACGAAGAGGACTACGACGACGGTGTGGAGGAGGAGCTGGCCGAGCAGGACGATACAGATGTTTACATCCTTTCTAAAATCGTTGACATCACCCACGCCCTTTTCAAGACCAACAAGGCTCAGTTCTTACCCGCCTTTGAACAGGTGGCACCGCACTTTGTCAAACTTCTGGAGCCCAGCCGACCAGTTGCTGATCGCCAGTGGGGCCTATGCGTGTTCGATGATCTTATCGGTGAGTTTCAATTCAATAGAACCGATACCTTCAAAATATTTTTTATAACATGCTTCCTTTATATACATCAGTTGTGCCATCAATAAACTAACCACTCCTTACTCATTTTACCTTCAGAATTTTGCGGTCCAGCTTGTGCCCCATACCAGCAAATCTTTACTCCAGCCCTGTTACAGTACGTGTGCGATAAATACCCAGAAGTGCGCCAGGCGGCTGCCTACGGATGCGGCGTGCTCGGCCAGTTTGCTGGTGAGCAGTTTGCGGTCACATGCGCCCAGGTCATTCCACTGCTGGTGCAGGTCATCAACGATCCCATAGCCCGTGATATCGAGAACATCAATGCGACAGAGAATGCAATCTCGGCGTTTTCTAAGATCCTGAAATACAACAAGTCGGCGCTGACCAACGTGGACGAGCTGATCGCGGCTTGGTTCTCTTGGCTGCCGGTGTCTGAGGATACGGAAGAAGCAGTCCACATATATGGCTACCTATGCGATTTGATTGAAGGCAACCATCCGGTAATTCTTGGGGTCCATAACTGCAATCTGCCACGCATTGTCTCCATCATCGCTGAAGCCTTTTGCACCAAGGTGATAGAGGCGCAGAGCGGCACCGGCACACGTATGCTCACCATCGTCAAGCAGGTGGAATCGAATCCGGAGGTAATGGCCGCTTGTGCCAGCACCTTGAGTCCAGAACAGCAGCAGGCTCTGCAGGATGCCTACCGAGAGCTGGCGAACATCGCTCCCGCCTAAGGAATTGCAATCCCAATCCTCTCCAGACCCAATTCAGTCCAGGCGAACTTGCCCAGGAGGGAAGGATGGCTGCTTCAGCTACTCGTTATCATTATTTATCATCTGACCTAAATCGTCGTAGGAAATGCATTATGAAGTATATGTTCAGCACATAGATTCACGCATCATACATTTATGTGTACCATAGAGTTATCCGCGTATATAATTCTATACATATTGTGATTTTAATCAAAACTCTTCTCCCGAAGACAAAAGTCTGCCTCGTTAGAATTTGACATGTTGTATGGATGAGATACAAATGCCATCCCAATCACACACAAATTCCAATAGAATATTTTCGTTACTCAATTTTGCATATGTTTAATGCATATGTGTGTATATACGGCCCGAACGGCCGCCTCTCCCTGCAAGAAACGGGATGTAAACGTTGTCCGAATCAAACGAAATATAATTTTGTGCATTCAAACCAGGATCGACAAATATATTCAAAGGAATAACATTTATTGTATTTTAAACATGATAAAAACGAAATAAATAACACGTAAATCGATATTTTAATTTCCTTGCGCTTGTGTTTGACAATTGCTTTCGCGCGTGCTTAGACATCGCTGCGAGCATATGTGTATAATTGTGTGAGCTTGTTTTACTTGTTTTTTTTTATTAACCAGAGAAATAGGGGGAAGCCACAGCATCTCAATAACATAAAATTTGATTCCCAGAAGACTAGTTTTAACAGTCGTGGTGGCAACTCTGGCAAAACAGCATAGAAGCCCGTGAACGTGCAGAGGCCTCCTAAGCAGCTGTTCGGATTCGCAATAGTAAGCGAATCAGAAAGATGGAAAAACTAGAAACATTCCACAGCTCGAAGAGAAAACACGCGTTCTAACATGTTATTTACGAATTTAAGTGATATTTGGTAAACACGAATCTTAATTTAAAGACAACCGAGCGTTCGATTAAAAAGGGCAGAAACCAACGAGGAAATTGCAAAAGTGAGCGGTCCATTGCTTTGTTTTTAGATCACTAGATGACTTTCTGGGCAAAGTGCAGATAAATCGCTTCAGCTGCCGCAGCGAATCAGACCAAATCCCAAAGACGAGTGCAACAGGTAGACGGGCCGCAGAAGGGCGGAAGCAATTTCGTCGGCCACAATTAAATTTAGAGCATTTCATTTTGTGACAAAACAAGATGAAAAAGCATCTCTTGCCCAATTTGGTGACGCATATTGGCCACCCTTTTAGTTGGTCTCGGTTGCCCGCCACGTCTGGATGATTCTCTGCCAGCAAGTGCGTTTTCAATATTTAAATAGTCCAGTTATTCGAAAGCAGATTGTGCTATGTGTTTGTTAAATTATACGAGTATCAATAAAGTGGTAATAGGCACTAACAAAAACACAGAACTATGCTAAAGGAAAAACATGAAAATAAAGACAGCAGGATATTCAAAATTCATAGAAGATTTAAACCTAATAACATAATAGAAGATTTAAGATTAAACCAATAAACATTAGCTATTATAGATTTGCTTAAGTTATTTTATAGTCCTTAGCTCTAAAGTTATGTGGGCTTTGGTTTTTTGCTTTAAACTCCAGGCAGTAATTTTTGTGCTGTTTCTTAGATATTCAAGGCCGTGATGGCGGAGGAGGAAAGCGAATTCCTGGCAGCCTATGCTAGCATCAAAACAGCCTACAAAGCGGCCATGACGCAGGTGGACCTGGCCGTATGTCACGAGGAGCAGGAATCCCTAGGCCAAGCCATTGAGGCCTACGCTCTGGCCCTGCGTATGATAGAGGACACCTTCGGAATTCCAGTAGGTCTTCCCAAAGAGATCGACACAGTGCAGACGGAGTGGAACGATGCCTGTGCGCTTATCCAAAAGCTCAAGAGCGCCGAAACGGAATTGAGATACCGTCTTAAGATTCTGCGATCCCAGAACCAGTCCATTGATGATACAGCCATGGAGGCCAAAGAGGAAAGTCGAACTACGGTGGATACAAGCAGACCATTGCTAGCGGAAAACCCCTACACGCATTATGACATAGCCAATTCCAGTGGAACACCAAAAACCTACAGGGAGCTGGCTGCCGGGTTGCGGGAGCTCTTAGCTGTACAGGACTCGAATGTCTTGCTGGATGAGCTCTTCCGTGCACAGGTCAAAATATATCGGATTGAAGCCAGTGGAACTGTTACCTCCATGAGCTGTTCGTCCACTATGTCATTGGTAATGTGTACCGTGGGTGGCAAATGGAAGTACCTCAGTGGAATGTACTACATACAGTGCTCCGTGCCAAATGAAGGAGCTGCAGGGATTTGGCTCTACCCCCTGGTTCCCTCTATTACACACTGCTACCAAACAGAGTACGGAGCCTTTATTTTTTCGGATATGGAGTGCCAGCAGCCGGGAAATGCGTTTGGCTTGATCCTAACGAAGGAGGGCCTGACATCGAACTCGGAGATGGAACTAGAGGACCTTCAGCAGTTCTTCCTTGACTTATTGGAGGCCGTACTCGCTGGCACGGTGGAGCAGCTGAAATCTCCGACCTCCCAACGTGCTGGCCTCGCTTCAGATACCGTTTCCGGATCAGAACAGGTGTCTAGACACATTGTGAGTGCGGCTGATTTCATTGCTAGTAATCTGGTAAAGGGAGCCGAGAAGACAGGAGGCTTGATGCTTAGGAGTACTCCGTATCTGATTTCCAAGATGACGCCAGCTTCGGTGGATACTCAGGTGCCCAGCTCCGTCCAAACTTCAGGTGTGAAATGTGCAAATATGAAAATAATATTTTTTATTTAGGGAGCATGCAGGTAAATACTTGTAAATACAGACAGAAGCACTGGAAAACGCATTTTTTTTGTATGCATATTGCATTGGAAAAAAAGTGACGGAAAGTATAAAACTTTTTGTTTCAAAATACGTTAATTTAAATGTAGCTTCCGAATCAATATGTACATTGGACGATGTTCCTAATTATAATATTACAACTTTTGTGGGTTGAAGGTGCGATCGTCACTACATTTCCGCCTCTCTAAGGGGTATTTGTGTTTGATAATCATAGTAACGCAACATTACCGAAATGGTTTGGAAACATCTAGTAAATACTTAATCCGTAAAACACAAAAGAATGATTTCATTGTACACCCAACTTACATATTGTTGTATTTTCATATTCAAAAGTTTTGTGTTTCTATTTTGCACCTTATCTATGAATAATAAGTGTCCTAGTTTAAGTTCTACCCTTATGTTTTTATAGTTGAAGTGGCCCAAAAAGTAACGCACGTCGCAGCCGGAATGACAGGATGGATAGCTGGAAAGGTTGGCACTGCCTCAATGACTGTCGGTCGCTACCTGGCTCCTCACATTCAGGAGCAAGGCTCTAAATTGCTGCAGAAGGGATTTGGCTACGGCAGCAGCGAGGCTAATAGCACCATGGAGGGCGCCATGACCATCGCGGCAGGAGCCGTGGAAGGTGTCAGCACCGTATTCGATGGCCTCGAGACTTCAGCCAAGATTCTGGGTTCCAGCCTTAGTGAAAACTCCGTCAAGATAATCGAACACAAGTGGGTTGAATTTTTTAATTATACCCGTACTCGTAGAGTAAGAGGATAAACTAGATTTTATAATAGTTATACCCGTTACTCGTAGAATAAAAGGGTATACTAGATTCGTTGAAAAGTATGTAACAGGCAGAAGAGGTGATTCTGACCATCTAAGGAATATATATTTCTTAATCAGGATCAGCAGCCGTGTCGATCTGGCCATGTCCGATTGCCAGGCAGTCACAACATTTGGAAACCAACTTGCGCTGCGTCTAAGTCTCTGGAAGCTGCAGGCTTAGTTTCAACATTCCAGCTTTTGTAGTTCCTGACATCGAGGCGTTCATACGAACAGACCTGATCCTGATCAAGAATATACATATATAAATTACATGTTACATACTTTTCAACGAATCTAGTATACCCTTTTATTCGACGAGTAACGGGTATAACTATTAACAATTTTGTAACAGATTTTATTACGAAATTTTGTCCGAATTTAAAGAAATCACTTAGGCTGACAGTTTTCTTAATTTGAAATTATCAGCGATTTCTAAGACTTGTTCACGACTTGCTTACGAGTTACTCGTATTAAATGCACAATTTCTAAGGTATGATCGATGTGCATATCTGTTATCAAATTATCAAGGATCAGAAAATATTACTCTACCTACCTAATGCGCCTAATCCTTTCATAAATGTTTAAAATGTCAAGGAAAAGTAAATGGAGTTGGTATTTATTTGATCAGTTAGTAACAAATTTGTAATGTTACTACATCCGAGAGCTAGACCTACAGAAATATCAGTATATAATGCAAAATTTTCTATATTTCATATATTTACATAAATGGATGTCTGCAATTTCAGATATGGTCAGCAGACGGGAAATCTGGCTAGTGGCACCTTTGATACGGTGGGCAACGTTTTCGTGGTCAGTCAGAACGTGAACTACATTACCCCGAAGGGCATTGCCAAGAAAATGGTCAAACGAACCGGTGAAGCCGTGGTCAGCGATTACAAACGGGACCTACGAAAATCGGAATCTCATTTTATTAATGCCGGAGCTCTCTATCCGGATCTGCGGGCTTTGAAAGAATAGCGTGCATACCAAAGGAACTAACCATATGTATAATATAATCGTTGATATTATAGCATTACTATGATATTATACTATAGCTTTTTTTTATATAATAGCCATGTCCTAGAGAGAATTTTAAAAATTTGAGCTGGCGGTCTAAAAAATTGAATAATCAATAAAAAATATATTTCTATCTTCCGAACCACAGAAGGCAAATTGAAGGCTTACTTGACGAAATACCGCAGATTACCAAATTACCAAAGAAAAAAATGTAAAAAAATGTTTGCCGAATGGGTAAACTTTAAATAAAAAAGTTAAACATTTATTCAGTTGACTTCAAAACTTGAATATGGTGGTTATGTATTTGACTCTTGATCGTCGAAGCTGAATACAAGAAATCTGGGGGACGCCTTTATTAAATTTCGTTGTAATATAGCTTTTAAGAAACTTATGCAGGTAGCAAGAATAATAATAATATAATAATTAATAAATAGAACAAGCTATGAAAGATCTTTATATGATCCCTACCTATATTTTATACATTATTATATACTTTTACGTAATGTGTTGAAATATATAGCAAGGAGCTCCAGTGATCCGGATTTCCAGGCTGCATATAGAAATGGGTACAGAAATTGGTTTGAAATTGGTTAGCTTAAACTCTAACGTAGTATTATATATTATTATATCCTACAGTTTTAAAGAGCTCTCTTTGATTTTCATGGGTACATAAACATATTAGTTGGAAGTTAGAGCAAAGCAGCGTTCAAAATAAAATTGATTCTCATTAAGGGCGCCATTACAAAACTGTTGCTCATTTTGAAGACTGAAAAACGTAACGAAAAACGTAAGAGCGGAGCAAAGGGACCCTTCTTGCGGGCATATGAAAATACCGCATGTAGCGAGAGCACGGAATTAGTATTATTCGGCCCGCCTCAGCTGGCCACACTCCGCCCCATTTTTAAGCCCAGAAACGCCTTCGCTCTGCAGTACGTATTTGACTCGGCTAACACCAGGCGGCTAAGAGTGTAGAGTTAGCTCGGCCGCGCAAGCACTAGTTCCCCGCTCGAACGTGATTTCGCCCCTTGGTATATGAGTACATGTGTACATATGTGCGCACGGTAAATAAGGCAGGAAAAGCCCAAAGCCACGGAGTTCGGATTGCGTTTTGTTTTGCGTAGCATTGCACCTGTGCAGTGGAAAATCGTGAATTCAGTGCAACTGTGGCGCTTGTGTGGGTGAGGGGTGTCTGTTTGCGGAAGTGTGTGTGGGTAGTGCCTTTTTATTTCCGATTTTGTCGGAGAGTATGAGTATCCAGCAATCTGAGTTGTTGCAATTACGGCGCGGCGGAAAATAGTTTTTCTCGCTCACAAATACCTGCATAAACAACGTCAGTGCAACAACTACGACTGCCTTAAACGGCTAACAGCAAAAGCAATAGCACAGGCTACAGCAAAAACTGCTACAACAACAGTTCTAACAGCAGTGCACAGGCAAACACGTTTTGGTTTTTATTTTCTGGCCCGCGTTTGCTGGTGTGTGTGGGTGCGGCGCTGTGTGCGTGTGTGTACGTGTGTACGTGTTGCTCGGCCGAGTATAGAAATTTCTAATGATTTTTGGCCCGTTCACGAAAATCAGCTCCAAACAACAACAACAACAATTGGACTCTGCAGTGGCTGTTTCAAGTAATTTGCTGGCGTTTGAAGTTTTTATAATTGAATGCCGAAAACCAACTGTAACCGCAGTCATAACACAACTAAAGAAACAACTAACGGCGACCAGAGCATCGAATTTTATTGGTGAGTGTTTTCAGCTTATGCACAGTATGAGAACGATTTCCAAATCTGCATTTCGAAACCGTGAAAATGGCTTTGAAGCCAATTTTCTTTGTGCAGTGCTTATGCATTTATGCAGATTTGAAACTATTGTATTTATAAGTTTACACATTTAAGTAAAGACCACATTGGGTGGTTGGGGCTAAAACCGAAGAAAATTATTTAGTGATTCAGAAAAATAGCTTTTGTTCGATTTCTAATATTTATTCATAAAATTCCATAGGGAATGTTACTTTGTAACCAAAATCAATAGGTTCATTGGCAGGATCTGAGTGTGCTTAAAAAATAATTAAAACTTCGGAAACCGAACCGAAACATTTTCCTCGGAGATTTTTCTTCATTGAACAGATCGTCGTCATTGCGGATCGCTTGGATCTATTTATCTGATGCAACAGTAGCAGCAAAATATCGTTGTGATGACCAGGACCAGTGATATGACCTCAATAAGCATTCTGGGCCCTGGATCTTGTTGCTCAGGCGGAGCTTGTTGGTGGAAGCTCGTGTTTCGCAATGAGTTTTCTGAGCTTGAGTTGTACATTCCTGCTATCCTCCGATCTGGTCGCTTTCGCATTTCTAGTGCCCAGCATTGATGTTTGAAAATTGTATTTCCAACTCATTTCCACACCCTCGCCCTCGACATGTGTTTCTGTGATGGCTTTGATGTTTTTTTCCCAAAACATTTTCACTTTGCATGCAATTTTCTCACCGCTCAGACTTGAAGCACTCGGGCGCCTAGTCATTTATTTGATATCATCATTATCGTCATCGCCCGAGCTACAGGTTTTTAGCTAATAAGGTAATGGCAAAAAGACGGGGAAAAACGACTAAATTATAATCGAAAGAAAAAATCCATCATTGGAAAGTTGGTTTGATTGCATTTGCGGAATGCAGCTGCCAGTGTTGCCTAGTTGTGCGACAGGGCGACGCATTTTTCGCCAGCCGTGCACTTGGCTAATATTTCAGGCTTCATGCTTCATTTGCGTTTCGAGCGGCCCAAGCCGCCTTTCGGAGCAGTCCCGCCGGCAAGGGCGTTGGATTAGATTGGATTGGGTGTATTGGGTGGATTGGACGGGACGGCGGTGTGGTGATGAGCTGAAGGTGAGGGGATAGGAGAAAGGCATTTGAAAGGGCTGCCTCACTCCTACCCACAAGACGAATAATAAATTCCTCCAGGTGACAGTGATTGGCAATTTTTAGCCGCAATTGGCAGGGCGATTGTGGGAGAGAGACGTGCGGGTCGTTACACGTTACACAATTTTCCGGAGCACTTCCCCAAGCGAATGTGATTTTTTCTGTGCCCTCAAATGGAACTCAATTAAAACTGCGCCACCCGCTCTCCATACTTTTCTCTTAAATATTGGATTACGATAGAAAATAATCATAAATATTTGTTTATCCGTTCAAAAAAATCCTATTGTTGGTACTTAGATTTCGTACATTTAAAATGGTCTTCGTATATTTTAGTTAAATATTTATTTATTTAAACCAAAGTTCATATAAAAAGGATGTTTGTTTCAAGTGTACTTTCCACTTTTCTCGACGGGTATTTCCCTCACCGTCTGTTTTTCGACAAGCTTTTCAGCCGCTGCTGCTTTGTTTATGCTTTTCCCATCTTATTGTTTTTGCGCGCCTCGTGCGTCAATTTATGTGAGTTCAGTTTGCACGAAAGACGGAAGCGGTTTAATGGTACAAATAAGAGTAGCTTTGGCTGCAACTAGAAAACTGAGGAAAAAGGGTGTCCCGGCAGCTTATTCACTTTTCCCCGCCACTCCTGAAAACTCGCCGTGGAAATTGGCGCCGCCGCTGCCCAAATGCCGCGCTGCTCAAAACTTGTTTGCCGCATAATTTCCAAAGTTGCAATTTTCATTTTATGGCCATTTGTCTTCGAGTTGTTTTGTCTGCCCGTTGGTGCACATTTGTAGCCCGGTTTTGCTTTTTTTGCCTGGCTCATTTTGTTTGGTAATCAGAATTACTTAGAGGGAAACATTTCGTTTTCATTTGCTAACTAAGTAAGTCTCTTTTACAGACCGCTTTTTAATCGAGTAACTGAAAACCAGATCAACGCCGAATTTACTAATTTGCTCATAATCATAAGTGGTTAAAATGTAATAAAATAAGTATGAACGTCGATAGCCTGGGAATTTCAAGAGCCAGAAAGAGATTCTAGTGACGCCTACGCTGTGGAAGTTTATTTCAAAACTTTTTCACATCTGTACAATTGCATTCGCCAAAACTATTATTGTACCCAAAAACTTGTGAAAATGCTCCCTCATACTCCCACCAGCTAAGTAAAGAGTATCTATGGCTCGTACTTTTATAAAATATAATAAGTATCTTTTATCGAAATATAGCCATTGTCGTGTAATTTCTTGATAACTTTAAAGGTTGAACCTTATAAGGATTATAGAACCTTTTTTAAATCATAATGACTTACTTTAGCCATCTTGCGATTGACACCGAGGCTCTTCCAACTCTTCCAGTTCTGGGAGGTAACCATTCGATTTCGTAACCATTTCTGGCTGAGTCTGGGTGTTCATAATAATAACCAAAAGCACTTGACACTGCCATCTGCTGCCGGCAACTTCGCCGTGGCCACCCATATGGGCCCAGTTTGGGCTCGTCGCTTACCTGTTTCACCGAGCAGTACGAGTGACACTTGTGCAATTATTGTACAAAATGTTATTGTCCACTTCTCGAAGGGAGTGTGTGTGAGTGGTAGAACCCTTGAACTCTGGGACAGGTTGTTCACAAAAACGAATGGTTTTGTTCCACGCCGAACTTCCCATGTCTGTCGACGCCGACGGAAATCTGAAACAATGGAGGTATTTAGAGAAAACGCTCTGAACGCATCTGTGGCACAGCCAGCTTATTAACTTACCTGTTATTTCAACCATTTTCATTTTCTCACGCACGCAGGTCTGGAAAATGGAAAATGCACTTGCCTGTGTCTGTCCCGCTCCTGGTTTTCTCAATGAGCAGAAATGCCGCGGTGGGTGATTTCAGGCGCACTGCGAGAAATTCTTGGCTGATGCTTGAATAGTATAAACAAAAACTACTTACGTTTTCGGCAATTATAAATTGCAAATTTATTTGAATTGATAATATTTCAATGTGATTTCAAATAATGAATTCTTTGTAAATAAGTAAAAACGCAATACCTTTTTTTTCTGTGTTCTTAAACGGGATTTTTATACTAGGCACCTCGAACCCTACTGATTTTTGGGAGAAGTCTTTCGTTCAAATCCCAGTAAATTAATGGCGCCCGATGAGTATTTATTAGTTTGTTTTCGTGAGCTAGCCGTATAATTAAAATGCAACCGGATTGTTAAGTTCATCTACGTTGTGCGCTAATAATTAAAGCGCGATTAGTTTTCAAGTTCGTATTTATAATACGTTTTTAAGAAAAGATTTGTTTTGTTTTTAATTAGTTTGAAAACGGGCTTTCCATTGTGAAACAGAAACGAAGTCAGCTTTTAATGCAATCCGGATAATTTAATTGATTTTTGATGCCCAGAGTGCAGTTCTTAATGGCGCCCCAATTTCCCAGAGATAAAAGTGAAACATGGACGACTTTTACATTATATATAAATCCATCATATACGATATATATGTATATATAAAGCTGTGAATGCTGTATATAACAATTTTTGTACCAGTTTATATGGAATACAAACTGTTGACCTAGCTCCGTGAGCACAAGCGGAATTCATTGTCGTGTGTACAACGCACAGAAGTTAAAAGTTTGGGTGTGTATGCAAAAGCGTATACAAACTGGTTCTGTTAACTTATTTATTTTGTGAAGCTCTGAATTAGCAGCTGGTGTTTGAGAAATGTTATGTTCGAAATTAAAATACTCGATGCGTAATACTTTGCGCTCCTTAAAGCATTATTTGCCTGCCTTGAACCTTGCACCCCTTGCAACCTACCCCAACCCCACTTCTGTTAGCCCCCAACAGCTGCTGTTAACTGTGCGATTGGGGTGGAAAACAGCAGCTGTTCGCTTGTTTGGGGCCGTCGCTCCCGAACCTGAAAACGAGTGCATTGGAGTCGACAGCTTGTGACCTATATATAATAGGATTCGGTATTACAGTTAGGTAGCGCACATATATGCGCTATGTGTTTTTATGTATACCCACAGATATGGCACTTTTGGGAGCCCAACAAATGGCCGAAGTATGCATGGAAACTGTTTTCAATGTTCCTGTTCCTGTGTGCCGAACTTCAGGTCGGGAATCTGTCGGCTGGGGTTCTTATCAGTTGGCCCGATTGCCTTCTCCGAAATGTGGCTCAGTTCCTTTTGTGGACTTAACGCATCGAGTTAGAATGAGTTATGAATGAGTTTCGGTTCTGTTCGGTTAAGTGACGGAAAACGTTTGGTTTTATTATACATATCGGCAGGCATCAAACCAAGTGGTGGCAAAAAAAGTGAAAAAACGTCAGATATTGCGCCTAGATATTAAGGAAATATTTGCCTGTCCCTTGTCATACCCTAACTTTGTGAATTTGTTCCCTTTACTCATCCTACCTTTGTTTCTGCTATCTAATTTAAATATGGCAATTATTCACACCTCGCAACCTTCTGTCGAGGCTTATCAGCAAAATATACAGAATTTTCACTCTGGCGTTCTGCGCCTTGCCTGGCGACCCATTTAAGCAAATGTTGAGCTCTGATTGCATCCAGAGCTGCACCGCAATCGGATTATATTTGTACAAGCTACGCGAGAGGGCGCTTGATTAGAGTCAACAGAGGAGACGGACTGGACGTATGGGAACTGAGTCCATATAACATATATGCAGCGTCAACGTTTATCAGCAATTAACAGAGGACCGTCAAGTTGTCTATTTACGTAGCGGCACATTGCCCCACCAGCCCACCTCTCAGGTACAATAAAAATAAACTCGGTTTACATTCTTAAACCAACTAGGTTCCTATTTTTTTTGTCTTAGGCTTTTGATAATTAAGT